AATTAGTCTGAGCAAGCCAGCAGCTGTCACTTGAGGTTCAGGCTGATTTCTGCATGCAAGGCCTAAGTTGAGCTCCCTGAACTGCTACAGGGTTGAACTCTGCAAGGTTCTATTGCAGGTTCCAGCTGCCTTATCCCTGAAGATAATCCAGGTTCTGATGGGAGGTGGTGATCCCTCCAACTTACCAAGTACGGTGGTCTGGGTGCCTTTATTGCAGTGATTTTCTTCACTTTTCCAGTGGGCTTCAGTTTTCATCTAGGAACCTCAGAGAGGCCCTCTTGTTCACTTCTGTTCTATCTTCTGGAGCTCAGATCAATGTCTTTTCTGACCCACTGTCCCTCTGTGGTGTGGATCCAAGTGCTGGCTTGGCCCAGTGGCCAGAGGCGTGTGTGTGTGTGTGTCTGGCTGCGTTCCTCTCTGCCAAAGAGCCAGGGCCACTGGACTTACCACAGCCTGCTGTGGACCTGCACTCCTCTGCGCCAAAGGGGCAGGGCCCCTTTTTTTAGTTCTTTGAGACAGGATCTTACTATATCGGCTAGGCCAGGTTTGAATTTGTGATCCTTCTGCCTCAGGCTCCCAGAGTGCTTTAATTATAGGTATGTGACACCATTCCAAGCTCAGTGTTTTTCTTTGTGACCCCTGGGTCTTGAGTCTTGCTACCTTTATTTCTTTCCTTCCCTTTTTTTAATTAAAAAAACTTTTATTGGGGCTGGGGATTTTAGGTCAGTGGTTCTGTCGCTTGCCTCGCCAAGCTCAAGGACCTGAGTTTGATTCCCCAGTACCAAAAAACCAAAAAAAAAATTAATAAAAAAATTTTATTGGTATTTGTTTGCAGTACATAATAAAAGTATTCAGGGCCGGGGATTAAGCTCAGTGGTGCCACCGCCTACCTTGTAAGCGCAGGGTCCCGAGTTTGATCCCCAGTATAAAAACAAAAACAAAAATAAAACCCCATAATAAACATACTCCTCATGGGAATTGGTACATATGCATATTACACCTTGATCCTATTTAGTGCTCCATTCTTTTCTGTCTTCCTTCACCCCAAGACCCCCTTCCATCCCTACAAAGTCTACTCCTGTTTCTTGTCATCTTTTATTTTTTGGACTTCTCATACAGGAGAAACCATATATTTAGCCTGAGTTTGATTTATTTCACTTAGCATTATGGGCTCAAAGTGCATCCATTTTCCTACAGATGACTGAACTTTATCCTTTATGGGTGAGTTGTACTCTATTGTGTATATATAGCACTTTTTTTATCCATTTGTCTGTTGATGGACATATAGGCCACTTTCAAGATTTAGCTACCAGTATTATGAATTGTACTGCTATAAACATGAGTATGCATATATAACTGTAGTAATGATGTCTTTAACTCTTTTAGGAAAATACCCAATGGAATTTCTATTTTTTTTTTTGGTTTTTTTTTTTGGTACTGGGGATCAAACTCAGGACTTTGCACTTTCGAGGCAGGTGCCAGAACCACTGAGCTAAATTCCCCAGCCCATCTATTTTTATTTTTTGTGGAATCTTCATACTGATTTCCATAGTGGTTGTACTAATTTACATTCCTACTACAGTATAGAAGTGTTCCTTTTCCCTACAGCCTTGCCAATAATTGTTACTCAGTTCTTGATAATAGCCATTGTTTCTGGAGTAAAATAGAATGGTTTGCATTTCTCTGATGCCCAGAGTTGCTGAACAGGTTTTCATGTACCCACAGCCTATTTGTACTGCTGTATTTCTTTTTTTTTCCTTTTTTTTCAGTGGTACTGGGGTTCGAACTCAGGACTTTGTGCTTGCAAGGCAGGCATGGTGCCACTGAGCTAAATCCCCGGACCTGTACTGCTGTATTTCTTTTGAAAAGTATCTATACATTTCAGTTGCCCAGTTTTTTATTGGGTCTTTTATTTGGGGGGAGGTCCCATTTTTTTTGTTCTTTATATTTTCTAGATATTAGTCCTATATCCAAGGATTAGCTGGCAAAACTTTTCCCCATTCTGTAGGTTTTCACTCTGTTTTTTCCTGTGCTGAACAGAACACACACATACACCCGTACCAGGGATCGAACTCAGGACCTTGTGCTTGCAAGGCAGGCACGGAGCCACTGAGCTAAATCCCCGTCCCCTGTCCAGAAGCGATTTAATTTCTTTTTTGGTACCAGAGATTGAACTTGGAACCCTGCACTTGCAGGGCAGGCAGAGGAACCACTGAGCTAAATCCCTGGCCCAGAAGCTTTTTAAATTTGATATAATCCCATTTGTTGATAGATGGTGTTATTGTGCAGTTGGGGTTCTGTTTAGAAAGTCTGCCTATGTAAGACTCCAAGACTTCTGCCTATTTTACCTCCCAGCAGTTTCAGTGTTTGTTTTTATGTCTAGGTCTTGGATCCATTTTGATTTGATTTTAGTACAGGGTGATAGAAATGGGTCAAGGTTCATTCTTCTGGATGTGGATAACCAATTTTTCCAGCACCATTTATTAAAGAGGCTATTGGGCTGGAGATTTAGCACAGTGATGCCACACCTGCCTGGCAAGCATAAGGTCCTGAGTTCAATTTCTGGTACCAAAAAGAATTTAAAAATAAAGAGGCCGTCTTTTCTCTAGTGCTGTTTTTGGCCCCTTGGTTGAAGATCAGATGGCTAAAGGTATCTGGGATTATTTTTGCATTCTTAATTTTATTCCATTAATTAACATGTCTGTTTTTGCACCAACACCATGCTGTTTTTATCACTGTTGTTTTGTAATATAACTTGAAATCTGATATTGTAATGCATCCTGCTTTGCTCTTGTTGCTCAGGATTACTTTGGCTATTTTGGGTCTCCAGGTTCCATATAAGTTTTAGGATTATTTCTAGTTTTGTGAGAAATGTTTTTGTATTTTCATTGGGATTACATTCAATTTATATATAATTTTTGGTAGGTAATATGGCCATTTTGACAATGCTGCTTCTGCCTATCTGGGAATAAGGAATATCTTTCCATTTTCTGATGTCTTCTTCAGTCTCTCTCCTTTTTTTTCCCAGTGTACCACAGTCTAGTTATAAAGGTCTTTTCTTTTCTTTTTTTGGTACCAGGGATTGAACTCAGGACCTTGTGCTTGTGAGGCAGGTGGTGGAACCACTGAGCTAAATCCCCACCCCTTTTTTTTGGGTACCAGGGATCGAACTCAGGTCCTTGCACTTGCACAGCAGGTGACGAAACCACTGAGCTAAATCCCCAGCCCCTTAATTGTTTTTTTGAAGTTATTGTTAATGGGATTGTTTTCCTAATTTCTCAGTGGGCTCATTATTGGTATACAAGAATGCTATTGATTTTGTATCCTGCTACTCAACTGAATATAACTTTTTGTATCTTCATATTCTCATAGCTTACTTTTCTTTGATTTGTTTAAATCTGTTTGCCAGTGAAGGAGCCTGCCTCTCTTCCAGACCCATAGCTAACATCCTCAAGAGCTAACCTGTGGATCCACCACTAATTAGAGGATCATCCATCCTCCCCCAATTTGGCATGCAAACTTTGTCTCATATTCTGTTTATATATAATTACATATTATATATTTATTATTTATATATATTATTTAATATAAAAGTTATATATATAATTTTTTTAGACAGGTTCTTGCTGTGTAGTTCAGGCTGGTTTTGAACTCACTATGTAATCCAGGCTGGGCTTGAACTCGTGGCAATCCTGCCTCAGCTTTCCAAGTGCTGTGATTATAGATGTGCCACCAGGCCTGGCTAGCTTTATATTTTAATATTTTTTCCTTCATAGATTTATCCTAGCTCTTACAAGTTTACTTAATGTGTGAAACTTCATCTTGTTGGTGCCTTCCCCCATGTTCAATTTTGAGATTAAGTATAATGGACAGGTTATGATACTTAATCTTTTTGCTAAGAAATGTCTAATATCACTTTTAAAACCACCCCTGTCTGACTTTTTCTATTATTAGAGAAAAATACACCACCCAGACTTCCAGGTTGGGACTAATGGCAGTGGAACATTTTGGTAGGAATTTTCTGTAGACAATTCAGGTAAGGAATGCTTACAGAAAACAGTTTCAAGCATTATCACTCTTAAACCTAGCCAAAAATCACTGTGTATGTATGCTACTAGGAATTAGATTTGGGATCTTGCACATGCTACAAGTACTGTACCTTTGAGCTACAGACTGAGGCAGGAGGATTGCCAAGTTTGAACCCAATCTAGGTAACCCAACAGTAGCTTAGACCCTGTTACAAAGTATAAAATGAAAAGGGCTGGGAATGTAGCTCAGTGTGAAGGCCCTGGGTTAAATCCCTTGGTACCAATTTTTTTAAAAAGCTGGCAGCAGAGAAATACACAATTTCAGTATAATGCAATCAAGCTATAATGAGGGACATTTATAAGCAAAGTAGAGGAAGGAAGATCTACCTGGGCAATTCAGAGAAGCCATCCAAAGGAGGAAGTCCATTATTTGAGCAGAGGCTTGAAGGCATTTTCAGAAGACAAGACATCTTAGGCAGCAGGGGTAGTATTTGCAGAAATAGGAAGATATATGAGATAGTCAGGGACCTACATGCAATTCATAGCAGTGACAAATTGCTGAGGAGGGAGAGAACAGACTAAATGAACAAAGGTCAGTTAACCTGGGCCTTGACACCCTTGCTCAGGGCCTTAGAAACCGATGGGGGGGGCAAGGAATTTAGCTCAGTGGTGTACCACCTGCCTCACAAGCGCAAGGTCCTGAGTTAGATCCCCGGTACTGCAAAAAAAAGAGAAAAAACATTGTCCGATAGGCAAGAGAACCAGGGACAGCATAAAATGTGGCAATGGGGGGGATGGGGGAATGGGTAGAAGTGTAGAGGATCATTCAGAGGCCACCTCTCTTGATATGTTTTGGTATCTGGTCTAGTTCAGAAAAGTTAGTAGGAGGCCAAATGATAAGTATGATCTCATAACTTTTGTTGAACTCAGTTTCTCAAGTCAGTAATTTTCTCAAAGAAGTACGAGATAGGACACAATGCATAGTACTGTGTTTATTTTCTGATTAGCACAAAGTATGAGGCTAGGAGAGAGTGTGAAGACAGGGCAGGAGATGGCATTGCAGTCCACCTACATAGTGGAGTTGATTTCGTATAAAGTATTTTTAGTTTTTACTTGTAGTTTCATCTTTAAAAACAAATTTAACAGACAAGTTCAGTTATGTACACATTCCCAAAAATCACCTGCAGGGGCCAGGGATTTAGCTCAGTGATTCTGGCACCTGCCTCACAAGCACAAGGTCCCAAGTTTGATCCCCAGTACCAAAAAAAAAAAAAAGAAAGAATCACCTGCAGGCTCCTCTAATGCCCAAATGAACTCCCAGTAGTGGAGCAAGATGCAGATTATTTCTATTTTAATCAGGAACTCAAATCCTTCTAGATTGAAGTTATCTCTAACAGTGAGAAGCCTCAGTGAAGCACTCTAATATGGGCAGAATACAAAATCCTAAGTAGGCTTGCTTCACAGAACCTGAGAAGGGGGCAATTTGTCAGAATGAACTAATACGACTTAATTCTTGTTGGCTTGGTTGTGTTTTCTCTTTCTTGGAGAACTTGCAGTATTTATAAGATAGAAATGCCAAGACACAGACTCCAAGAAGCATGAGAGAAAAGAGTACATACAAAGCTGTCTGTGCTTCTGTGATGCCGAGCTTCAACCCCAGGAACGGCACCTCCTCTCTCACGGGGATGGTGGTGGGTTCAGCATCTAGGAGAGGACAGCAAAGGGTGATCTGTGCTCCAGTGCTGATCTAAGTAGTTTTCAGATCTCTGTCACCCTAGAAATGCCCAACCTGGACCCCTGCAGTCAAGCGAACATGGTACCCCCAAACCTGCATAGCCAGAGCCATCTTTGCTGCTGTGAATGTGCCTGATCCACTTATTAAGAGCCTCTGAATAAAGTTAAGTACTTGTATATTTTCAGTCTCTATCGGCAATGAGAATATAAACTAAATTGGGTAAATGTCTAATATTTGCATAATTTATACTTTTTCAGTCACTCAGCAAACACTTGGCTCACACTGTACAAAGCACTGCTTTCATATTTCTCTTGTTTGTTTCTCGTAACTGCCCAGGTGCACTTGTCTAGTTTCTTGCCTGGGGTGGCACACAGCCGGCTGTGGTATGGTTGGAAGAAGAATCTAGGCCTCATTGCTAACATTCCAGTAGCCCTAAATGTCCTTTCCTGGTGTTTGTGTTTTCGGGATTTTTTTGTTTCTTTTTTTATTTGGTACTGGGGATCGAACTCCAGACCTTATGCTTGTGCAGCAGGCGGCAAAACCACTGAGCTAAATCCCTGGCCCTCAGTTTTTTTTAAAGTGGTATTGGGGACTAAACCCAGGGCCTTCACAATGAGGTACATCTCCAGCCTGTTTTCATTTTTTATTTTCAGACAGTCTTGTAGGGTCTCACTAAGTCACTATGTTGACCAAGCTGGGCTTGAATTTGTGATGCTCTGGCTTCCACCTCCCAGAGTGCTGGGATTACAAGTATACATCACCCTACCTGGCCCTACATGTCTATCTTTTCATCCCAAGCACTAAAAAATCTTGGTTGAATGAATGAAGTCAGTGGAGAAACAGAAAGGTAATAAACTAGACAGACTAAAAAGACCCTGCCTCCGTCCCTTCAGCCATTGGTTTTGGTCCCTCCCAGAGTCCCGTACCTTCTGGCTGCTGGAGACAAGGGTGAGGCCCTGCTGCAGGGTCGGGGAAGCCGTTGCACCGGACTACGGAGGCGTAGAATTTGGCTGACTCTTTAGGGATTCTTGGCAGAGAAGGGTCCGTGCGGTTCACATAGTGCAGGCCAAACCTCTCTGTGAAGCCTGTGGCCCACTCGAAGTTGTCCATCACCGTCCAAACTGTGTATCCACGGAGGTCCACCTTATCCTGCACAGCTACCCACACACAGGCCAGAGTGTGAGCCCCTCTGTTTCAAGACACCTTGCTGCCAGGTCTCTTGCAGCCAACTTGCCCACACTTTCCCCGTGCTCCCAACCTCTGCAGTAAGGTGAGTGTGGGCGGCCCTCCTTTTGCATGGTCGTTGGCAGGCTCTATGGAAGAGCTGCAGTGCATCCAGCATCTTTTTAGACAAGCTCAGCCCTGAGTGGGAGTTGTGAACATGGGCTGCCTGAGCTAACCCCTCTGTGCCACCCGCTCTCCCCCAGCATCAGAGTGTGTTGGTCTGGGTCAGAGGCTTAGAGCAGCAACACTCCTCCCTACAGAAAATCAGTACCTGAATCTTAACCGTATCCTTGGCTGGACTGACTGACTCAGCATCACTTTCTGTCCCCTTCTGCTCACAGCTCCATCCCAAGTTATTAGGGTAGAGCCCAGGGTGTCCAGTTTTTGCCTAAGGAACAGACCTTACAGACAACCACCCAGCCGCCTCCACCTGGCTCTGCCTCGGAAGGCCCTGCTCTTCAGACACCAGGGAGGGTCAAGGGGAGCAGACAACTCAAGCCAGGGACTAAGGTCTAGCAGCCTGTATGGAGCAGCTAGGTTTGCTTTGTGATACAGATCTAGGAAGGGTCCTGTGGGGGCACCGCTCCCTTCCTGCAGACACTGGCAGTGTTTCCAACAGTGATGGGGTGGCCTCTCTTACCTTTGAGGGCCTCGTTGATGTAACTGCGGAGATAATAAATCCTCGCAGTGTCATTCAGGTCTACTTCTCCCCGCTGAGACACTCCATTCTCTGTTACATAAATTGGTGGGTTGTTGTACTCCTCCTTCAACCAGTTTAGGATTCTCCTGAAGCCAAAAGGTGTCATCTTCAGCCAGAAGGAGCCAGAAACTGGCCAAGATTGATCTGCAATGGACATAACTCCCCTGTCAATTAAAAAACTGAAGATTAGGTCTTGTTTTATAAATCTCACAAGGCTTTTTACAGAAAACAAAGCAAGTCTCTCTAGCTATTGGACCAGTGATCGTGAGAAATTCAGGGAAACAGCGCAGAATGGACTGTTAGTTGTTTTTTTAAGTATATAAATATTTCAACAGATCATAAAGAAAAAATTCTATCTCTTTGGTACTTGCAAGAGAAGTCAGATGAATGTTTCTCATCCAGAGCTTGGATGTCCGTATTTGTCATGACTAGAGACTTGCTGAAATCCTGTCATCAGGGTGTTTATCTTCCATAGCCAAAAAAGAATTAAAGCAACATAGTTCCTGACTGAACTGGTGGGTGGAATTTTGGAGAGGTGCATGGGTGGCCGTGCCTGGCATGAGTATCTGTGTAATGCCCACCCTGTAGTGGGTTGGTCCCTTGAAGACCTCCTTCCTGCCTCCTGTGGTCCAGCAACTGAGGCCCTGCTCTAGAACTGTGTACTATCAAATTCGCCATCATAAAGGAATCTTCCTGAAAAATACTGACACATATAAAGGAATCTTCCTGCTGAAAAAAAACAAAAGCAGGTTTATAGTAGGAAAACACTTAGGTTTCATCTTGACTTAAAAGGTCATACTAAACGCAGAATAATCAAATGACCTTAAAATCTCTTTACTGGTTCTGCTTGCCCCCTCAGGGCTGATGTGACTTTGAGTAAGCCACTTCAGCTGTCCGTCTTGGAGCCTTTCACCTGTGTGGAGGAATGGCCTTGCTCATGCAGCCTCACCCTCCGTAGGCTCCTGTTCATACAGGTCAGCAGCTCTGCATGCCCTCAGCTCGTCTTCCCAAGGGCTGTGAGTGGTTTCTCTTACTCAGCTGAACTGAATGTAGGCCATTTTATAAGCTGTAGAGGTTGCTGGGGAGATAGTCCCAGCACTAGCATTCTGACACCAAGAGAGTCAGAAGGAGAGAGGGGCGCTTTAGAGTCTTCACAGCACTCTGCAAGCCTAACTTGGGTGATTTCACACAGCAGAGAGGGCGCAGAGGGATAAGAGCTTGTTTTCAAAAAATGAACCTGGACAGATCCAGAGCTACTGGTATTTAAAGGTTATTGAAAGGGAACAAAATATATACATTTAAATCGTGCTTATTATAAAAAATATTTAAGATATAAACTATAATAAAGAGATGCAGAATAATGCCCATCGCATGTAATGACAGAAATTTCCTGTTTTCTAATGTTTCCTCCATTGAACAAGTATCCCCCCAACCCGATCAAGCTCAGGACCTTGCACTTGCCAGGCAGGTATGGTGCCATTGAGCTACATCCTCGGCCCATTGAACATGTATTACTTTTTAAACACAGAAATAATAACTTGACCTTTGCCTTGGAAAGGGAAAAAAATCTTGTTTTGACTCAATCCAAGAAGTAAAGCAAGGGCCAGGGTTTTAGCTCAGTGGTTTCGTCGCCTGCTGTGCAACCTCAAGGACCCGAGTTCGATCCCCAGTACCAAAAAAAAAAGAATTAAAGCAAATTTGGCAGGAAAATAAAATAACTTCCCTTGAAAGTTTTTCAAAGAACTAAGCAGTCCATTTACCTGGGAAAGTCTCAGTTTGCTGGAGATGGCAGCTGGGGTCTCAGGAACTGTTGAGCACCCTGTAAACCCTGATGTGTGCACTCAGCAGGCCTGAGGCTGTACCAGCCTCTAAGTAAGAGCTGGGCTTTCTGCTCTAAGGATTGCTCCAGCACCAGTTGGCCGACTAACAGACTTACCTGTCTGCGTCAAAGGAAGAGTAGACAGAAGCATAGTTAAGGTTGTAGGCCAGGACAGTGGTATAGTGATTGAACCCAAAATAATCGTAGGTGCCATTGATCCTCCTCTTCTCACTCTGTGTGAACTCCGGGAGCCTGGGTGGAAGGAGCCAGTAAGGGTGAGAGGCCTCAGGAAGGATCATGCTTTGAGGTAAGGATGCCCTGGGGCAGGGACAGAAAGCACACTGAACTCCAGTCCCTTGGCCAGGACTCAGCCTGTGGCTGGCTGGGGAAAGAGGCCTTTGGGGGATGCAGGGAGTCCCTGGGTCTCTTCCTCCCCTGCACAGCCTTTCCCTCTGGCCCTAAAGACCTCTTCTTGTTGGCAAGATGCAACCATATTTGACCTTTATACTCACCCCCTAAACCCCCTGCAGGGCCAGCCACACAGTTTATATTTTCTTCAAACATTAACAGATTCTGTTATTTACTATTCATGATAGATTTCAAAATCGAGTGTGTCTAAGGTACATACCTTGAGATGACTTATCTTTTATAATTTGCATTTCCCTATTCTGCCCTTAATAAGTTCGTCTGTTTTTATTGTAGTTGGCTGTTTCAGATGGCCTCTTTCCTCCAAAGTTTATCCTTATTAATAGGGGAAATTTTTAGCAAATTGAATACTTGGTGTTTAGACTTCTCCACTCATGATTTCACTGAAATTTGTAGATGGGCATTTGCCATGTATTCTGAGGCAACTTTTCTGTAAAACTTGAGTAACATGCACTTATGTGCAGCAAGAAAAGCTCCCTTTCTGCCAAATCCCAACTGCTGACATTGTGCCCTGGTGCTTCTGGCTTGGGTGTTGCCTGCTGATGCTCTGCATAGGCCTCTGGCAGAGGTCTTCCTCTTAACCTTTCCGCTACCATTAACCCACAGGATCAAAACATCCCTCCCTGTGGTTTCTGAAATGCTGGTGATAAAAGCCCAGCCCCACCCTCACTCTCCCTGGGGCCTGGGGAGCCAAGGCTGCTGTGCATGCGGCATACGGAGGATGGTGAAACTATTTACTAAAAAGTTTATTCTGTGTAGGGTATGCTGTCAGGGGGCCAGCAGGGAAGTTTCCAAGAGAGCAATCACGTTAGGGTGAGAGATTAGTTTTTTTGTAAGGGTTTGAGGATGTGGAAAGAGGTGAGGCAACGAATGTGATTAAAGAATGTCATTTTCCTGGATCATTTAGCACCTTGCAAATCTCAGTGTGGATGTAGGAGCACTTGTATTGTGTTTACAGTTGCAATTTGACAAGATCTTTTCCTCTAGCTTAAAGAGGCCTTCTAGCTTTAAATAAGGAGATCTGTACATACTGTCTTTTTTTCTTTTTAATTCTTTTATTGGTACATTTTAGGTATACAATACATTTACATTTATCATTGGGTGCTTGTACCTGTACATGATATATCTTGGTTCTTATTTTTTCCCCCATTCCCTGCCCTCCCTTCACCCCCTCCACCCTTCCCTATTTACATAGATTTGTTTCCATTTTTTTTCTTTTCTCATAATCTTTCCTTTCCCTTCCCTTTCCCCTTCCCCTCCCACCACCCCTACACCTTTGGACCTTTTCCTATTTCAAATTATCAATTACTCATTTTAATCCTTATTTACACTTTCAGTTTCTCACACTAGAGAAACTATTCGGTATTTACATGTGTGTCCTATTTATTTCACTTAAGAGTATGGCCTCAATATGCATCCATTTAGCTATAAATGTCTCTAGTTTCTCATTCTTTATGGCTGAGTAGTACTCCATTTTATTAAAAAACCACATCTTCTTTATCCAGTTTCCAGTTGATAGGTACTTGGGCTGTTTCCAAGCTTTAGCTATTATAAACTGTGCCACAATAAATGTAGGCACAAATATATCGCTGTGGTATGATTCTTTTAATTCTTTGGGGAAGATCCCCACCAGGGAAATAGCTGGGTCAAATGGGACTTCCAGTCCTAGTTCTTGGAGGTATCTCCATACTGATTTCCACAGTGGTTGCACCAGTCTGCCCTCCCACCAACAATGGAGAAGGGTTCCTTTCTCTCCACACCCCCACCAGCATTTGTTATTGGTTGATTTCTTAATAGCAGCCATTCTTTCTGGAGTGAAGTGGAATTTCAGTGTTGTTTTCATCTGCATCTCTCAAATGACCAGTGATGTTGAACATTTTTTCATATATTTGCTGTTTTTACTTGTTTGTCTGAGAAATGTCTGTTCATTTCAGATGCCCATTTTTGAACTGGGTCTTTGAATTTGGGGGGTCTGATTTTTTTCAATTCTTTATATATTCTCGATAGTAGACCTTTGAGGTACAGCTGCTAAAAATTTCTTCCCCACATTGTGGGTTGTCCATTGGCTCTGTTGGTGGTTTCTCTTGCAGTCCAGAAGCTTTTTAATATGATGGATCCCAGTTGTTGATTCTTTGTGCTAGCTCCCATGCTACTGAGGATTTCTTCATAAAGTCTTTTCCTATGCCAATGTCATTAAGAGTTCTACCTAATAATTTATCTTCCAGTAAGTTTACTGTTTCTGTCTTGATATTTAGATCTTTAATCCACTTCTATCTTAGTTTAGTGCACGGTGATAGGATGGGTCTAGTTTTAATCTTTGGCAGGTTGAAATCCAGTTTTTCCAACACCATTTATTAAATAGGCTATCTTTGCTCCAGTGAGGGTGGTTGGCTCCTTTGTCAACTGTCTTTTAGGGAAGATGGGTCAGGACTCATTGGGAGAAAGGAATAGGCCGTATAAATCAAAAGGTTATCAGTGTTGTTATTTTATGACTGCCTATCTAAAGAGGGTTGCCTTTATCTAGAGTTTGGCAGTTAAGGTTGTTAATCCTTTTGTTGTTACTGGGCAGAGACACTTTGCCTGGGTCTCACGCCCTCCACCATGTGCCCCAGCCCCTGCTGGTTCAGCCTACTGTCAGCTGCCCACGCCCCTCATTCTTACCTGTGGGCCTGGACTCACTCTCCCAGCCCTTGGATGGAATCTCTGCTCTCCCAAGTGCTAGTCATTTTCAGGGCCCAGCTCAACTGATGTTCTGCCTTGTCCATGAAGTCCCCCACCCTCAAGTTTTCTTCATACTGAGGAAATTGTGGAACAGGATTCCAGGACAGATTTCCCAGTTAGTCTTTTAGCAATTGGAGGAGTCAGACTTGAAATCCTCTCTTTACATGGACCCCACTGGGCTCTGACTCAGACACATAGTAGGTATTCAAGCAAAGTTGTGTAGGTGGGCCAGAGTTCTCAGAGTTGGCATATCAGACCTTTAGGTGCAGCCTGCTGAGCAAGACTTAAACAGGCTGAGTACATTATAAGATGGGAACTGGAATTTTAAATCTTCACACCTGGGCTTTATGACTCAAAAGCTATGGTAGGAACACCTGCTGAATCTCTTTCACCATCTTCTGCTTGTGGTCAGCTGTTCTACCTTAGCACTTGTATGTGCCATAAGGCCAGTAAACATCACTTTGTGCCCTTCTACATATCACAGCTCTAATGCAAGCAGGATGATTCTTATACCCAGAGGACCCTGGAGGCAGACAGCTTGGTTTCAGATCTAGCTAGGTGATCTTACTCTAATCTTTGTGCCTCAGTTTACTTATTTCTAAGTAGGAATAAAAGTACCAGTGGAAGCTGCCCTTGATGTTGCTGTTACTTCTTTAACCAGAAGAGGAATGAGCCAGGAATTAGGGATAATTTGGTGTAAACTATTGCCACCTGCTGGCCAAATAACAAAATGCACATGTCTGCAATTAACCCACTAATGAAGCGATCAAGTATGATAGGATAAGCTGGGGAATTTATAGTCATACCTTGGTACTCAGCTGCTTTGAAATTTGTCAGATTTGGCACCCTTTGCATTTTGTCACAAAATTTTGTTCCAGTTCTCATTCATTTGGTTCTCATGATGGCAGCAAGAACTTGTGGTGTCAATTGCCTCATGGCTCTACCCTTTCCAGGCAAAACGATTTGTTTGGTAATCATCTTTTTTGGTATACTTGTGGGACCTCCCAGAAGCAATTAACAAGAACCGAGTTACCACCGTAGGAAGATTCCTAAGAGGAGACTGCCCTTGGGACAGATCCCTGGCTGTTCTGAAGTATAACAAGCATAGCAACTTTGTTTTGTCAAGACCGTGGTAGGGCCAGGCGCTGGGCTGAGCCTTTCATATACTGTCATGTGTAATCTTCCCAACCAAGAAGTTCAGAGGCCTGGCTGCTTGTCTGAGAGCCACCTCTCTACTCCCAGCCCCCATGTGCCTGCCACTGTGGACACAAGACCTTACCGGGACTTGTTGAGGCCTGCAGCCAAGCTCCTGTCACGGATCCGTGTCTTCATCACATCAGGGTAATCTCCATTCTTAAAAATAGGATGTGCAAACCAGCCTCCCATGAACTGCAGGGAGCAGAGGACAGTTAGCCTTGGCCTCACAGGTGGGCACACCAAGAGTCAGAAACAGCCTTGCTCAGCAGTCACATCCCCTTCCTGACCCTCTCTCTCCTCTTCCAGGTAGTAGCCTAGGTGCCCACAGGCCTTTCCACCTGTGTCTGAGTTTGCATCACTGTGCCATGGCCCTCCAGGCAGGCCATTTCTCAGGAATTAACCCTTGATGTGAGAGGAACTGAATGGCCACTGGCCCTGGCACTCTTCTTTCTGGCTGCCTCTAGGAGGGCTGGACAGAAGAGGAAGGGGACACTGGAGACCTATAGGCCCTATTCCCTCTCACCACAGAGCAGCTGAACTTACATCCTGGTCCTTTCTCATCAAAGTACATGAGGATCAACTAGAACACAGGGGAAGGACTGAGTTGCCTGACTGCCCACGTTGTTTTATAAGTATTAGGTTCAAAGCCCTAAAGTAGAAACAAATTATTCAACTTCTGTTTGGTTGGTTTTTGGTGCTGGGGATTGGTGAAATGGCACGAACCCTACACTGAGCTTTGCCCTAGGAAACCTATTTTCTTTCGTGAGGTCTAGGATATCCTATTGTTAGGAGGATACGGGCACCCAAACATAGTGCTGGAGGGCCTGAGAGACTATTTTGGTCTCCAAATCCTTCCCTCACCTGCTGGCTGATGCTTGAAGTGGCATGAAGACAGCCTTCCACTCAGATGAGGCTTGAAGCACACACACACCCTGGTAGAGCTTACTTTTAAAAAAATTAGTACACATTTGCAGTACATAATGATTATGTTCATAGTAGGGGGCTGGTACATGTACATGTACATAACACATTGTAATTCTTTTTACTTCACCTTCCTCTTCCCTCCATCTCTTGGTCCCCTTCCCATTTGCAACTTAAATGTACTCTAAGGTAATAAACCAGATCTTATGGAAATTGACTGAAATAGATGTGTCTGTCATAGTCCTGGGCAGAACCATCACAGCTCCCCAATATATGGCTTAATCTAATGATACTACAAACCTAACATTTCCCAAATTTGGGGTGTTGACTTCAGGGGAACAGTTACTGTTCTAATTCACCAATTTTGTGAATCTGAGATGAAGAATGCACTTGTTAATTTGACCACCTTTGTCAAGCTCTCTTGAGAAGAGTTTGGCAAACCAAGGTCTGTGGTGTCCCTCCAAGAGAGTCAAAGTGCCACAATCTGCAGACTCCTTTCCCCAAAATGGGGACGCATCTGGTGGATAGAGACCTTGCCTTTTTTCTCTTGATGCCAAAACATGGAAGAGGGTGCCTTCTAACCCGAGAGGCACTAGCAGGATCCAGAGAAAAGCTGTACTGTGGATAAGGGCCATTCCTCTCTGTCTCGTCAGGATTCCGACTGAAATACAGCGGGGCTATATCAACACCTGCTTACGATCAGTGTGTCTATTCCTAGGGATGAAATTCTACAACCAAAAGATGTCCTTGTCCTATTTCAAACTGATGGAATTAGCAAATTAGATGTAGTACCAAGTTTACGGAGTCTAAATTACCCAATTTAAGAAATTCTTAGGCTGGAGCAAACAGAATGGCGACAGCTAGAGGTGAAGTGTGCAGCCCAGCTCCATGAGCTGGGAGTCAGAGCAGAGATTGAAGAGATGGGACTTCTTTTTGTGGTTGGCTTCAAAGCTATGCTACATCCAGTAAGGACTACATCTACAACTAATTTTCCAACACTTAAAAGAAAACCCAACCCTTAAAAATTCACCACTTTAATTACAGTAAACCAATGAAGCAGGTAGGACATCTCCAGTTCCCAAAAGAAATAACTAAGGAACAAAAAGTTATGTGGTTCCAAGCTCACAAAATCAGCTGATAGTGAAGCTGAGCCTACATCCCAAATCTTTGATTCTCATCCTAATTGTTTGCATTAGACCATGACAGGAGTAAAAAAAAAAAAAATCTAAGAGAAAAACGTACCTGAACATATCTCCTAGCTGCCTCCACATCCTCCTGGTTGGAGGGATCCCTGGGCTCAGCCCAGTCACTGCTGATGGTGATGGAAATCATGCCACCTTGACTGGCGCGGTACACATCATTGTACAGATGCCAGGCCTCAGCATGAGCCTTTATTAGGTTGTGGCCAGCAGTGTAGGGAGCAGTGCCAGGCCTAGAGGAGATTCCTGCAAACACATAGATGCTAACAGAATGAATGTAACCAAGAGTATTAGTTCCCTACGTACCGATATCCCCTCTGGGTGAAAGATTTTGGCATCTGGAAAATGAATTCAAACCCTCGACTACTACCTCTCACTAGGATGGCTATATCACTTTGGTCAAGCAGTGCAGCCTTTTAAGTTTCTTGTATTTTTTTTTCTTCCTTGTTAGAATCGACTGCAGAGTGTGCTTGTGAGAAGAAAATTAAAGGACGGAGGTGAAGGGAAATAAAAAGAATTAAAATGTGTTATGGACATGTAATAATTCCCTATGATGAGTGTAATTATGTTCTGAAACATGCTAATAAAACATTTTTTAAAAGAAGAAAATTGATTGGCAAGGAGAAGGCACTTGTGAAATGTGACCTTCTGTTCCCCTCCTCCAAAAGAATGGTTGTGTATCTCAGGTAAAATATCTACAATAATATGTGCCTCGGGTTGGAGGACCCACTGTCAGAGTTAGGGTTGGAGACCATCACTAGCAGAAGGAACATCTGAGGTGGAGACTCCTGGAGAGCAAATACTGCAGGAAAGGCTGCTTAAACCAGTGCCAGACAAGCCCCACTGAGACGTAACTCATGATGGCTGGAGGTCATCTCTCCATGCCTCCTTTCAGCTTTTTTTTTTTGGAACCAGAAATCAAACTCAGGACCTTGTGCTTGCCAGGCAAGTGCAGCACTGAGCTAAATCCCCGCCCCCTCTTTTTTCAGCTTTTACACATAGTCCCAAGGAATCACCATGCAAATGGACACAAATTTACCTCATATGCTTAGCAACAGAGGAAAGGGAAGCTGGATGGCTTTCAAGGGCCAAAGACAGTTCACAATTGCTTAGTCAAAACACCCTGATTGGAAGTAAATATTTTTGTATTTTAGAAAAGTAACAAATTGTATATATATTGTGTGTCACCGCAGCAGGGCCCAGGACAGCTCTCCATAGTGAAGAACATGCAGCAGAACTTAGGAATGCTCACACTAAGTGGGTTGAGTCAGGTTTCACTGTCACTAAGTGAGCTCAGGTCATGCAAATCAGTTGTTGGAATTATTAGAATATTGGAAGTATGAAAACAGGTTGTGGAGTCAAATAGCCTGACAAATTGTCCTTTCCTACATCAATTTTCCCACATCCTTGTTCTTACAGAGCTTCCCACCTGAGGCAAATCAGAGTCACAGAGCAAAGAAATGAAGTCATCCTGAGGTACTAAGATGTGAACGCTATGTTTAGCACATGTGTCAGAGGGGAAATCCTCGCAGCCTTAAGCAGGAGGTGGGGTTTCTGAAGTGCTGCCTCCTCCCATGCCACCTGGATTTCATGTCTTCAAGGTGCTAAGAATGCCATGTTCCAAAGAGCTCATGACAAATCAAGCCCTGAGACCTTTACCTGGAGCTGATACCCCAGTGCCATAACCATGGCAAGCAATGACAAAGGGCTCGTTCAGTGTGATCCAGAACTTCACTTTGTCCCCTAGCCTCCGGAAGAGCACATCTGCATACTCTTTAAACCGTTGCACAATGGTCTCATTCTCCCAGCCTCCAACATCCTGGAGTGCCTGAGGTAGGTCCCAGTGGTACAGGGTCACCTGTAAGAGATTCAGATCAGCAGTTCTTCCAGTTGTACTTTCCATGGAAAGCCACTGACGTGAGATGCACTGGCATAAATGTGCCAGTGGCTAAGCCTGAGAGAGTGGACTTCACTGGCCAGGGCCACACTCACCTGGGGCTCGATGTTGGCAGCCAGCAGTGCATCGATGAGCCGCACATAGTAGTTCAGGCCCATTTCATTGATGTACTTGGTGGTTCCATCAGGGAGGATGCGAGTCCAGGAGATGGAAAAGCGATAGTGGGATACACCCAGGTTCTGCAGGACAACTACATCCTCGGCAATCTTATGATAACTGTCGCAGGCCACATCTCCAGTATCATCGTTTTCAATCCTTAGTGGTGTGTGAGAATACATATCCCAAATACTAAGTCCTTTTCCATCTGCTCTCCATGCACCCTCGATCTCAGGAGGACAAAACATGGTCTAATGAAGTCATTCAGTCAAACATAAATTCCTTTCTGTCAGAGGGCACATCCCAAGTCAGGACTGTGCCTAGCAGCATCACCTGGAGCCTTCTCTGGCCTCCTCCAGTTTCTGAACTCCCATACTTTGGGTACATGCACGGCACCATCACACTGCATTATGCTGTTGGGCACAACAACTGGCTCCCCACAAACCTTAAGGTCTAGGCAATGTGTCTTTCACTTTGCTCCAGCAATTAACAGTGCCTGGTGTATGGTGGATGTTCACTAAAGATGTGAAAAGTTTCACACCTGCTGCCACCCCTAGCCACAGCCAAATTGTAAAGATGGCTAGGTGTGGAAGCAAAATTTCTAGTTAAGACATATGTCACTGTTTCTGTGCATGCCTCCTTTCCTCCCACCTATTCTGTGAATAAAATGACCACAAGCCACTGGAAAAATACTTATCTCACACTTTGGTAGTATGATAGGTACAATTTCTGTAATTTACTTTAAAACACTTCAATAGAATGAGTGGGAGGGAAGAGAGGGGATGGATGAAAAAAATTAAGATGTGTATATACACGTACCAACTCCCCATGATGAATGTAATCGTTATGTACTGCAAACATGTACTAATACATTTTTTTTAAATGGAGTGACATGAGACTGGACACATCTAAGCTAGTGCCAGCATTCTAATCAAGAATGCATGTCCAATAAGGACTGAGATGTATAATGGATGTTAGGAAATGGGAAGAAAGTGTTCAGATGGGAAGGAGAACAAGGGAAGAGGAAGAGAGAAAGGAAGGGACAAGAAAAAAAAAAGTGAAAATAGAAGGAAAAAAATGGAAACAAAACTTTTGTACATAGGGAGGAGAAGGGGTTTGGAGGGAATAGGATAAAATAAAATTTATTAAAAAATAAATAGATAAAATACTTAAATAAATAAGAATGCATATCCAGGCTTGGTGGTGAGAGGAGCAGGGTCCAGGAGCACCCACCATGTGAGCTGTCTGTGCAGAGAGAACATTAGGGAGGGCAGGAAAATGATCAAATAGACTACGTTGAGGATATTAGAAGCTAGATTTCTCACCACTGGAAAAAGGAGATACGAATATGGAAAATGAGAAGGCTAGCATTAATACTATGAAGTTGGATTGTTATTGGAGGTGTGAACTTGTGGTTTTAAATATACAGAGATGGATGGATGTAAAAATATGCGTAAGTGTGTACATGCACATATTTCCTAGCTCTGTCCACCCAGAGGGCTTAGAAGAACAGTAATAATACCCTGGAAGCAGAGCACACCCTGTGTCCTGATCACGGTTTCTAAATGCCATTTGCCACTAAAGAAAGCCAGGGTCCATTAGAGAAATGGCCACTTAAAGGCTGGAGCTTGCATCTTCCTGAGGGGGTCAGCTAGCGTTCTGTTCAGGGAACCCACACTGTAAGCACTTCTCATCCTGGTCTTTTGTTCTGTTTTGGGGCCAGAGTCTTGCTATGCAGCCCAGGCTGGCATTGAACTTCCAATCCTCCTGTCTCAGCACCCCCAGTGGAGGCATGCACCCAACATTTGTCTCCTTTTTTTTTTTAATGGTACTAGGGATCTGTTGTGGTTTGGGTCTAGATGTGCCCCCAAAGCCCCAAGTGGTCATAGGTGGCTTTTGCAAAGGTGGCTTCATCTAGAGTACATGATGCTGGGATTAAGGTCGTGTGATTACTAAACCACTACACTGATTGGTTTGGCACTGCCCTAGTCCTGGTAGTCTGGATAAAAGGGACAGAAAGATGCTGTTAAGTTCTCTTATTGCTTTTGCTACTGTGTAGGTGCCATGAACTGTTTCTCCTCTACAACTCCCCTCTGCCATGTGCCATTCTGCCTTGGACCCAGCCAATTATGGACTGAAACCTTTACAAACTGTGAGCTAAATACACCCTTTCCCCTTTAACTTTGGGTGTTGGGTATTTTTTTTCAGCAAGGAGAGAAACTAAGACAGGATCCAACTCAGGGGTGCTCTACCAGTGAGCTACATCTCCAGCTCTTTTTAAATTTTGACACAGGGTTTCAAAAATTCAAGGTGTGAGTTGGCTAAAATATTCTCAAGACTCTGTTTGCCCTCACATGGCCAGGATTTTATGAATTCACCAAGGTCTGTGGCCTATACCCTAGAAGAAATCCCTAATCCTTCCTATGGTCAGTTGTAAACTTGTGGAGCAGTGGTTCTCATGAAAGAGACATTCTTCCCCAAGGGGACAGTTAGCAGTGTCTGAAGACATTTCTGGTTGTCCCCACAGGAGAAGTAATCTATAGACTGGCGTCTAGTGGGTAGAAGCCACAGACACCAAGAAACATCCAAAATGTCAATCAGGCCCCAATTGAGAAATCCTGCTACAGAGGATTCAATTTGCCTGATATATGACAGGCTCCAGCCTTTGAAATCTTGGTGTCTGCCTCAACAGAATATTTCATGTTAGCTGTTGGCCAGAGCAGCTAGAATGACCAAAATCTGGGATTTTCTTGAGTCCACTGGGCAGCACACAAACAGTTTTTCTGCTTGCTTGCTAATTAACTTTTTTTTTTTCCAATAGTAAGGACTGAACCCAGTCTTTGCATTGAACTACATCCCCAGTTCTTTTATTTTTTATTTTGAGATAGAGTCTTGCTAAGTCACTAAATTGTCCAGGCTGGGGTTGCCTTAGCCTCCCAGAGTTCTGGGATTACCTGTGTGCTCCACTACAACTGGGTAACTCTTAGTTAATAAATGCCTATAAACTGCCTGCGTGGAAGGAACAGGGGAGGAATGAATGCATCCAGCAGAGACACTGCACATTTGCATGTCTTTGCCCAAGTGTTTCTGCCCATGCTATCCCTGCTCCATCTGGCCCTGCGGACACCTAATTGTGCTGTTCTGCCAGATGTGAGAGTGTGAAAAGGCTGGAATGTCCAGGAAGAGGCGCTGCTGAATCCAATGCACATGCACCGGCTCCCTAAAGTCTGCTGGAATCCCTGCTCACGTACCTATGCTCCCCAGCACCAAGCCCAAAGCCTGGTGCACAGTAGATAGGCAGGCAGGCAGGCATGCAATAAGTGGTGCTGAAGGGCCCTGAACCTCTCACCTGATATGCAGCAGAAGCTGCACTCCAGATGAAGCCCTTGGGAAACTCTCCGTACAGGAACTCATCTTCCTTGGGCATTGGCATGCCATTGTTGGTAATGACCTCTGTGTAGTAGCTGGCTGAGGCTCTTGCTGTGCGAGGCCTGTTCACATCCTCAAAGTCAACATGGTACAGACCAAACTTGACTGTGTAACCTTCTAGCCACTCAAAGTTGTCCATCAGAGACCAGGCAGAATACCCTCGAAGGTCTATGCCATCGAGCCTGTAGGCTGGGAACAACCCAAGGGAGCAGAGGAGAGAGCTTTACACCAGGAGGGAAGAGCTACAGGAAGCCCAGACGAGTGCTGGCTGCTCAACTTGTATGGAGAGTAACATGTCCTGAGAGACACACCGATCACCCTGTTGATCTTACTTTCTGCTGGCTCTATGACCCTATAGGAAGTATTAGCAACTAACTGGTCTTTGCAAAGTCAAATTCTTTTGTTAAGGTAAAGGCTATGTCTCAAGTTCAAGAGCTTGAACTACTATAGAAGTTAAGCACATGAGTGTGAACTAAGAGTTTCTTATTCTGAGGTGCATGGAACCCCCAAGAATATAAGTTCTGAGGGCAGAAATATATGTTTCATTCCCTACAGCATTCTCAGGACCTAAAATAGAACTTGTCACATAGGAGTTGCTCAATAATGAATAAATGACCCATGAAAATATTCTTTTGGGGATTCATGTACATATATTCATACATTTTGAGAAAACAATTTTTTCAGCTTCTTAGGGAACTATAAATAAACTCCCAAATAGGTAAGGAATTATGAAGTTAGGGGATAAAAGAGACTTCCAGGTACCCTAAAAAACAATTTCAGGCACATGATGTATGGGATATTGGAAGATGAACTGATCCCTCACATACCTTTCAAAGCTTCATTGATGTAGGTTTTGTGGTAAAATATCCTGTCAGTATCTTGCAGCGCTCCACTTGTCAGCCCCACTCCATTCTCGGTGATGTAAATGGGGACATCACCATACTCTTCCTTGATCCAGTTCAGCAGTCTGCGTATCCCCCAGGGTGCAGCTCTGTTTATTGCTGTGGCAACCCACGAAGGGTCCTCTTCCTCAGTGATCTCCTGGTCATACTGGTAGGAAGGTGGATTCAGCGGAGGTGTTGTGTGCTGCACAAGTCTAGATGAGTAGGTGTTGAAGCAGAAGACGTCGGCTGTACCTCTAATGTACCGCTTCTCCTCCTCAGTGAAACTTGGCAGGCGGGAGGTGGCCAGGTGCTGTAGCTCGCTCCTGTTCCCCACTTTCCACTTCATGACATCGGGATAGTCTCCATTTCTGAAAATGGGGTGGGCAAACCAGCCCAAGCTGAATTGCAGCATTCGGTCAGCTGCTTCTACATCTCTCGGGACCCCTGGAGACTTGGGCTCTGCCCAGTGTGTGCTGAGGCTCAACGAGATGACTCCCTGCTGCTGCTGCCTGTACTTCTCATCATAAGTGTGGTAGACTCTGGCATGGGCTTTGATGACTGCATGACCGATCCTGTAAGGGCCCCAGCCTGGGTCCTTCACATTTGGGGGGAAATTCCCCAAGCCATAACCATTCCATGCCTGTATTGCAGGCTCATTAAAGGTCATCCAAAACTTAACTCTGTCACCAAAGGTCTGGAAACAGAAGTCTGCGTAGCTGTCAAACAACTCAATCAAGGAAGGATTTTCCCAACCTCCAATATCCTGAAGGGCTTGGGGCAAGTCCCAGTGAAACAGTGTCACCATGGGCAAGATGTTGCTTGCCACCAAGCCACTGATCAGTCTGTTGTAATATTCAACACCAGCTCTGTTGATAAAACTGTTGGTCCCATCAGGGAAAATCCGAGACCAGGCCATAGAGAAGCGATAGGCCTTCACCTTCAGAGCTCGAAGTATATTCAGATCAGCATCCAGGTTGTTATAACTGTCACAGGCTATGTCTCCAGTGGCATTGTCTTTCACTGCATTCCCTGGTGTGTGTGTGAAGTTATCCCAAATGCTGGGGCCTTTGCCTTCAGCGTCCCAAGCCCCTTCGATTTGATAGGCCGACGAGGACACGCCCCACAGAAAGTCATCCCGGAATGTGCCATGGTAGAAAAAGTCTCTCTCAAACTTGGGTTGGTTGGAGAACTTTTCCCAAACTACTTTAGCCTTAGAGGGCACCTCAGATGGAAAATTGAAGGTTCTGATTTTGGAGGGGAGCTCTGCTACTTTGGATGGTAGTGATCTTTTTACTACCTTAGTGGTAAAACCATTCTTTTCAATGATGGTGGTGAAAAAGCAGGCAGATTTCCTGGGAGTCCTTGGCTTGCTGCTGTCACTGAAGTTGACGTGGTGAAGCCCAAATCTCTGGCTGTAACCAGAGGGGCCTTCGAAGCCGTCAATGAGAGACCGAGCAATATAAGAGCGAACATCCACGGAGTCCTCCTTGACAGCTGTGAGAGGAAACAAAAACAGCTTTTTTTCCCCCAGTACTGGAGATTGATCCCAGGGCCTTGTATGGAGCAGCGTCCCCAGTCCTTTTTAATTTTGAGACATGGTCTCACTAAGTTGCCCAGTCTGGCCTGAAACTTGTGATTCTCCTTCCTCAGTCTCCCAAGTAGCTAGAATTACAGGGATGTACCACTGTGCCTGTCTGAGATTACGTGTTTTTAAATAAAATTATTTGTATTGAAAAATTATCCTTAAAGTCTGTGTTACTGATGTTGCTTTTTAGAAAGTTTTCCTTTGATATGAAAGTTTTAGAGGTTACTTCATTTTCTCCAAAATGTAACCCTTATTCCTCTCCGGAATAAATAAATAAATAATGTACAGGGCTGGGGATTTAGCTCAGTGGTGCTGCACCTGCCTTGCAAGTGCAAGATCCTGGGTTCGATCCCCGGTACCAAAAAAAAAATTGCTTGTGCTGGGGCCCAAAAAGAAATTTCATGTGGTAGCTTTGCTCACACCAGTATTCTCTTCCACTGAGAAGAAAGCATCCATTTACCTTCAGGTGATTTACTTATTCTGTAAAGAATATGTGTAAATATTTTGTACAGAGCCCAATATAACAGCCATAAGTGATTATGAAAAAAAAGTTACAACACCTTCCCAAAACATCAGACCACTTCTATGGCCATGAATCTTAAATCTCAACCCAAAAAAGCATCCTTAATTTTTCTCACTAAGATGCCCAGGCTGGCCTTGAACTTTCAGTTCTCCTGCCTCAGGCTCCCAAATAGCTGGGATTACAAATGTGCACCACCTACTCACCCAGCAAAAAAATGAACAGAACATGCTCCACCTTCTAGCATTAGGATGCTTTAGTTTGTATAGAATGCATAAATCACTTAAATGTTTGTTTTTACTTTTCCCTGTTTACATTTAGTAGGGTTGAATAACATCAGGACACATTCCATATTAGAAACTAAACGGACTGGGGATTTAGCTCAGTGGTTCCGCCGCCTGCCTCGAAAGCGCAAGGTCCCGAGCTCGATCCCCGGTACCAAAAACCAAAAAAAATTTTTTTCAAGGCAGAATCACACCAAGTTGCACTAGGCCTGAACTTGTGATCCTCCTGTTCCAGACTCCCAGGGTGCTGGAGGTACAGGCATTTGCCACCAGCCTGGCTGGCCGACAAGTGCCCTTAGAAAAGGCCATGTGAAAACAAGGGCAGAGATTAGAGTGATGCAGTCACAAGCCAAGGAAGGCACGGAGGCAAGAAATAGTCTCCCCCTTTAGAGCCTGTGGAGGGAAAGCAGCTCTACCAGCACCTTGCTTTCAAATTTCTAACCTCTACAACTCTGAAGCATAAATGTCTGTTGCTTTAAATCACCAAGTCTGGGTAATTTGTTACAGCAGCCTCAGGAAGTTAATGCCCCTTACCTCTAACTTGTCAAACAACAATCTAACGAGTCCACCAACAGAGCCAAACTAAAAAGGCCATAGCTGTGGGCTCCAGCTTGGAGCCAGCAAAGGATTAATGTCTATTTTTATCAGACTGTACAACCTCTCAACAAACAGACTCACTCTATAAGGGCAGGATGGTGCACGCCTGTGATGCCCATGCTCTGAGAGGCTGAGTCAGTTGCAGCCTAACCTGAGCAATTTAGCAACTAGCAAAATCCTATCAATCAAAAAAAAAAAAGATCCTATCAATCAATTGATCAGTAATAAGTAATATATAAAATGAAGGGCAGAGGATGTAGCTCATTGTGAAGGCCCTGGGTTCAATCCACCCAAAAAGGAAGTAGGTAAAATTGCTCATTTAGTAAGTAATTTAGAAAGTACCTACTTCGTCCTAGGCCAGTGCAAGGCTCTGGGGGACACAAGATGAGTAAAGTCACTATAGCTTAGTGGGCAGGGTGAAGAACTGATGCAGAAATGCAAAGGTCTTTTGCAGTTGTCCTATGAGGATAATATCTATTCCTCCTTGCTTTATGAGGCTGTTTCAAGGGTCACTTGAGACCAAGGAATTCCAGAATCATTAGGAATTGTAACTAATGCTGAAAAAAGCATGAATGTAAGTACAGAGAGGGTTTATGACATCACAAACCAGGAAGGTGCCCAGGACAGGTAGGTATCATTAATCAACTTTCTCTCTGAATTCAGATAAAATCTTGAAACCTCAACACAGCCCTCTCTGCAGACAGCTGGCTGTTCGCTATCAGTTGACTAGGACTGACTTGGGACATAAATCCTATTTGGCATCCTTTTCTGCTTGGAATAAAAAGACATGCAATGGTATGTTAATAAGAATGAGCCTATAGATTGGGTCAACTGGCTCACAATGACTATAGATTTTATAGACAGTCAAAGGATATAGAAATCAGTTTCCTGGATAAGCGAGAGAAGACTTAATAGATTGAGTCCCATCCTAAATGTCCCTTGTCACACTATATTTCAGTCTCTGTGTCCCCCTTATAGATTGAAGATGTTGCTCAGTATGGTACCTCTCATCTTTCACAATGTCTGGTACATAACAGGCACTCCATACTTTCTATCTTTATAATTAATGTTATATATATGTATATGTATATGTACACACTCATATATATACTTTCATATATACTTATATATTTTCAGTGCTGGGGCCTTGTATATGCTAGGCAAGTGCTTTTCCACTAAGCCACGCCCACAACCCACGATAACTATTTTTACCTAAATATATTCAAAGATAAGTCTTGATGACTGGCTAGGACTCAGAAGGGCAGGATGTCAGAGGAGACATTCTAGGGAAGAACAGAGAAATAAAAACACGAGCCTTTGGGAAAAAGAGGAGGCCCACATGAAGGACATCCCACCAATGCTGCTCTGTTGGCTTCATTTTCCTGGGAGACCGTCTTCATCCCATTAAGCAGAACTATGAAGATCTGTAATACCACCCCTTCTGGTCACAGCATGGCCATGTTCTTACCTTTCAGCACCTCATTGATGTACTGGTTGAAGTAGGCCACTCTTGAGGAGTCGTCAAAGAGACTGTTATTTTCCCCTATGGGCATGCCATTCCCAGCCAGGTAGATGGGAACTTTTCCCCTTGTGTACTCCATGGAAACAAATTGCAACAGCCTTCTTATACCCCAGGGCACCACGCGAATCCAAGGAGAAGCAGTTTGGGGCCATGCAGGATCCACGTGTTGGGAGAAGCCTCCTATATTTTCATAGCTAGGGACGCAGGTATCTTGTTGGCCCTTCCTGATGAGGCGGGAGGTGTAGTGAGACAGACCCAGAAAGTCAGCAGAGCCCTTTATGAGCTGCTTCTCTGCCCTAGTGAACTCTGGGAGCTGGGCCACAGGACCAGAGCACTGTTTGTTTAGCTGTTGAATCTGAGCCTTCATGGTAGGAGGGTAGCCTCCATCTACAAAGATGGGGTGTGCAAACCAGCCCAGCATGAAGTGCAAGAAGCGCTCAGAGGCTGTGAGGTCTTCAGGTTGCTCTGGAGACAAAGGCTCTGCCCAGTCTGAGTTCAGCACGATGCCCACACTCCCCTGCTGCTGGGCGCGATGGTGACTGTTGTAGTGGTGCCAAGTTCTGGCATGAGCTTTGAGGATCAAGTGAGCCACCTGTGAAGAAGGAAATATGGTGCTTAATACCAACAATTTCAACATTAGCACTAAGCTGAAAACAAGTCACCGTAATGTCAAGTCAACACCAATCTCAGTTATCAAGTCACTGATGACAAAAACAATGAATCACAACATGACAACACCAACACTAATTTCAACAAGTCAGTAACAATTCCAGTTAACATCAATGTCAAGTCAATAACAATAAGTCAGTAAGTCAAAAACAATGTGTCAAGATGTTAATACAGGTGTCAGCAAATCAACATCCATAATGTTGAGGTGAGGTCAGAATTATCAATACCAATGTTAACATCAGCAAGTGCCAGGTGTGGTGGGGCATGCTTGTAATCCCAGCACCCTGGGAAGCTGAGGCTGAAGGACTGCAAGTTCAAACCCAACCCAGGCAATTTAGCGACTTATGAAAAATAAAAAGGCCTGGGTATGTACCTTGTCCTGGGTTCAATCCCCAGTACAAGCAAAACAAGTCAGTAAAGTCAACAGGTTAACAATTCAACACCATCAATAACAATTTCAACAACTCCATTAACTAATATGTATTGAGCCCTTACTGCTTAAATAAATTCTGCCATGTAGTCCATACACCTTTATGTGGTAAGTACCACAATTATTACCACTTTATAAATGAGGAAAAGATCCATATAGGTGTAATAACTCTATATGGCTATAGCCAGAAGAAATATGAGAATTTAAACCCAGACAGTCCAACTCCATGCCTGTTACTGTCACCCACAATGCTATTCAGCCTCTGTACTCAATGAGTGCTTATTGAACAATTAGTCCAGGATAGAGGATATTATTTTAATTAATGCACAAAGGAAATCCCACTTTTTTTTTTTAGCCTACTCTTCCTTTCTACTTAAATCTAGAAAGAAAACTTTGTAGACTTAACTCATGGACCTAAGAAAGTCATCAGCTTTCTGGTTGACATCATGGGAAAATAGGGATACTGAGGGTGAGCCTGGAGTATAACAAGCATGCATTTATATCCTGGCTCTGGCATTAATTTGCTCTGTGAGCCTGGACAATCTCCACACTCAATTTCAGCTTCCTACTTTTTTTTTTGGTGCCAGGGATCAAACTCCAGTCCTTATGCTTGCGAGGCAGGTGCTGGAACCACTGAGCTAAATCCCCGGCCCCAGCTTCCTACTTTGAAACAGGTAATTATGGATCCATCTGGGAGGATTGGTATTAACATATGTAAAGCACCAAACAAAGCATGAAATGCAGAATGGCGCTTGCTAGATCTTATTTTCTTTTCCTTTTTATCATATAAACAGGATGACATTTACTGTTGAAGAATTTCATCAAAAATTTACCCTAGGAAGTGAAACTTCTGGCTTTTCTCACATCCTAAATGTTAGTTCTGAACTAGGCTCCTTTCCGAAAAATAGGAATGCTTCCCTTCTAAACTAGTTCATCAAGCACCTTGCCTTACATGAACTATTAAATGGCCATTAAAAACAAGCCAGTATAGTGGCGCATGTCTGTGATCCCAGCACTCATGAGGCTGAGGCAGGAGGCAGGAGGATCGCCATGAGTTTGAGGCCAGCCTTGGCTACACAGTGAGTTCAAGTCCAGTCTGGACTACACAATGAGACCTTGTCTGAAAAAAGCCCCCCAAAAAAGCAGTGAAAAGGAATGACTGTGACTGTGTAATAGCATGAAAAATTGCTAATAACATATCAAGTAAACAATGAGCACTAAACTGAGGTACACCACGACATGAATGCAAAACAGTTGCTGTGGACTGAATTGTGTTTCCCTAAAATTTATGTTGAAGCTCTAGGCTTTGGGAGAGGATTAGTTTTAGGTCACACAGGTGGGGGCCTTTATGATAAAACTAGTGCCCTTATAAGACCCACCACCAGAAGGCACTCTCTTCCTTCCTCTCTTTCTGTCCACCATAAGAGGATGATGCTATAAGAAGTTTGTCTGTAGACCAGGAATAGAGCCCTCACCAGAACTTGATCATGCTAGTACTTTAACCTTGGACTTCCTATCCTACAGAGCTGTGGAGAAAAAAAGTTTAAGCCAACAGTCTGTTTTACAAGGTGTGATTGAAAAATACGGTGAATATTCAATTTTTAAAAAAATTTATTAGCTGGGTGTGGTGGCCTGAGGCAGGAGGATCACAAGTTCAAGGCTCTTGGGCTACTTAGTTCAAAGCCAGCCTGAACTACCTAGCAAGACTGTCTCAAAAAGAAGTTTATTACAGTAAAAGACACATGGCCATTAATCACCTTCAAAATACTCCCTCTCGCTTCAAGTACACTTCTCCTGTTGTTCTTTCCATTTTCTAAAGCAATTCTGGAAATCTTTCATATCTTTAGTTGTGTTGTCATGGCTGCCTTGATGTTCTGAATCTACTCACTGTTCTCAGTTTTCATGGACATTTTGACTTTGGGAAAGAGCTAGAAGTTGTAGGGTGCCAGATTTGGTGAATAAGGTGGATAAAGACACACCATAATATTTTTTTTTGGTGCTGGGGATCGAACTAGGGACCTTGTGCTTGCAAGGCAGGCGCCGGAACCACTGAGCTAAATCCCCAGCCTACACCATAATATTTTTATGAACTATAAAAACAATCCCAGAAAGTATAGCCTTATCACATTTTAAAAAGCCTGCCTTTCTGTTGGATGGCACTCAACAGCAGTAGCGATGATTTTGACCATACCTTGAAAAGACACTTATGAAAAAGGACTTGCTTTACATATGTTAATACTGCTTCAGAAAGTGGCAAGAATGATGGGATAAGTGTGTTTGAAGCAGGGAGGGAGAGAATATTTTTGAGGGGGATTAACGGCAGTGACTTTTACCGTAAAAATTTTTATTTTTTAATAGTAAAACATTTATTGGTACATTTTAGGCAAAATTTTTTTTTTAAATTTAAACACACACCATATTTTTTTTTTTATCAGCCCTTGTATCTTATTATAGTGGCCTAAGTTAAGATGGTATGATAACATTTTTTTTTTTTTGGTACTGGGGATCAAACGCGAGACCTTGCACTTCAGGCAGCAGAATCACTGAGCTAAATCCCTGGCCCCTATAACATGTTAACAAATAAATAAAGTAAAAACTTAAGGAGCTAGGGATTGTAGCTCAGTGGTAGAGTACTTGCCTACCACATGCGAGGCCCTGTGTTTGATACCCAGCGCTGCAAAACAAAATATTCCAACACTCTGGGAAACTGAGGCAGGAGGATTGCACATTTAAGACCAAACCTGGGTAATTCAGCAACTTAATGAGGCCTTGTCTCAAAACAAAAAACAAAACAAAAAAGGGGTGGGGATCTGAGGATGTGACTCAGTGCAAAGGCTCTGGGTTTGATCCCCAGTAGCACCAAAAAAAAAAAGGAGAAAAGTGAAGGGGATTTTCTCATCTGAGTCTTTATAGAAATATGAAATACTGGGCTGGGGATTTAGCTCAGTAGCACCATGCCTGCCTTGCAAGCACAAGGTCCTGAGTTTGATCCCTGGTACCAAAAAAATATATATATACACACACAAAATACTGTATTTGACTCTTCAGTCTCTGTAGAAACACTTATCTCTCAGGAGCCACAGTAAAAGCCTAAGAAGAAACAGTTTGAAGACACAGAAGAGAGGTCAAAGCTTCTCCCTCACATTGAGGACATGGCCGAGCATCTCTCCTTAACACCTGGCACAGGGCACAGGAAACAGATTTCACCCAAAGTGTGACAGGGAAAGCCACACATCCCCCTGAAGAATGTTGCCAGGGAAAGCTGGTGGGTTTTCTGGGAGATTCTGAAGGAAAAGAGAAATTAAGGAAGACAAATATTAAGCCATCTAAGTGTAGTTTTGTGGGGTTCTTTTTGGTACTGGAGATTGAACTCAAGATCTTGCACTTAAGAGGCAGGCATGGTGCCACTGAGCTAAATCCCCAAACCAATATTAAGCCATCTAAAATGTAGTCCCCAGAGCCAGCCATGGTGATGTGTGCCTTGTTTGCCAGCTACTCAGGAGGCTGACAGAAGAATCACTTGAGCCTGGGAGTTTGAGGCCAACCTGGGCAATATAATGAGACCCATATCAAAAAAGAAAAGTTGGCCCCCAGTATGCACATGCCTTTTGAAATGATACCAATTGCCACCTGGAATGCAAACCCCTCCTTTCCTCTCCCCTGTCCATTTCTCAGCCAGTGTGTTCAGGGACAGAGCCAGGACACAAGGCTCAGTCACCAGGCCCCTAGCTTGGACCCAGCATGGGTTCTGGGGTGGCCAGGTGGCCATCCAGAGCCCAGGGGACATGAGGCTTTGACTGGAAATGTCAAACAGAGGTGAGCTTTCTTTCCTGCTGGTCTGGAAATACTGAAGTTGGGCCACTGCCATCTGGTGACCAGATAGCCCAAGAAAAGCCAACAAGGGGAACAAAACAGGGGAGCACAACTGGGTCTGGGGAGAATATTGTGCTCCAATGAAGCTTTACCTTGACCAAGCTGAAACCAAGACTTTTCAGTTTCGTGAACTGATAAATACCCTACTTGTTTCGGTCAGTTTAGGTTGGGTTTTGGCAGTTTTCTTTTTTGCAGGGCTGGGGATGGAATTCAGGGCCTTGCACATGCTAAGCAAGTGCTCTACCACTGAGCTATTGTCCCAGCCTAGAAGTTTACTTTTGGAGTCAAGGAGACTTGGGCTCAAATCCTGCTTCCAACCGGCACCCCAACAGTGTTGTCATCATGACCCCATTGTTTATCCTCTCTTAATCCCTATTCTCTCAACCATGAGTGCTATTTTGGGCCTGTAATAACTATTTTTAAAGTGCCATCACAGTGTCTGGACAAAATAAGGTGATTAACAATTTCCTCCAAAGAACAAAAAGTAAACACTTTTTGCTGAGGAGACAGATCAAATAACTTCCTTCCAACCGAAAGTCTTTTTTCCTCCAATTAGTAGGAGTTACAGGGATGGGAAATACCTTAAAAGAGGCCACTCCAGGGTCAGAAATGCCTGGCGCGTGCTGGCCGGTGCCATAGCCTGCGTAGCTCACCACCCATGGCTCATGGAAGGTCACCCACAGTTTCACACGGTCCCCAAAAGTAGAGAAGCAAAAGGCTGCATAGTCCAGAAAGGCATCCACCACGTTCTCATTCTGCCAACCGCCAAGGTCCTGCAAGGCCTGAGGCAGGTCCCAGTGGAACAGTGTCACCATGGGCTTGATGTGCGATCCCAGCAGGGTGTCGATCAGCTTGTTGTAGTAAGTGACACCTTGGAGGTTGGGGCTGCTCCTGTGCCCAGTGGGGAAGATCCGGGACCAGGAGATGGAGAACTTGTACACCTGAGCCCGGAGCCCACGAAGCAGGGCGACGTCAGAGGCTGACTTATGGTAACTGTCACTAGCCACCTCCGGGGTTGCTTGGCCTCTGGTGCCATTCAGTCCATATTGGTCCCAGATGCTGGCCCCTCTTCCACCCTCAGCCCAGCCGCCTTCCACATTAAAGGCTCCTGTGGAGACACCCCAGAGGAAGTCTTCAGGGAAGACATCCTGCAGGAAGGCATCCCTTTCTGTCCTGGACTGGTTAGCAAAGGCTTCCCAGACCCTCCAATAGGCTGAGTCAGGGGACAAGGGCCCACCCGCTGTGTCACGGTCCTGTTGCTGGTCACTCTGAAGGGCCAGGCTATCAGTCAGAGAGCAAGACATGCTGTGAAATTGAGACAAAGGGCAATAATTAATGACTGAGTTACAAATGTCCCTATACTGATGAATACGGCCAATGTATTTAATCAGTAAAAATGCCAGAAACTCTGAGTCAAAAATCGAGTCCACAGGGCCGGGGATTTAGCGCGGAGGTTCTGCCACCCACTGCGCAAGCGCAAGGACCCGAGTTTGATCCCCGGTAAGGAAAAAAAAAAAAAAAATCGAGCCCACGAAGTCACAGGCAGGAAGTGACTGACAAAGGGGAAATTATCCCTTCCTAGACGAGTACATATTACTCTTGCATGAGGACAGTAACAATGCCATGTGGAGATGTGGAGAGCGGTGTTAGCCAAAGAGGCTCCATTTTGAATCTTACCCTCCATTGTATAGAGCAAGGAGACGATGTTATGAGGAACCGTGTCCTTGCCGAATTAGATTGCCCTGGAACGTGATGAACGTTCTGTAACCCCGAGAAACAAGGAAGCCCATGAGGGTGGGGAATTCCCAAAGAACTAGAAAACAAGGAAGCAGGTGTCTCTGGATAAGGGTCATGATTAACAACCAAACTCACCTGCTGTATAAAAGAGAGGAGAAAAATAAACTTGGGCGCTCGGTCTCTGGAGCCCTCCCGACTCTATCTCTGTCTTTCTTTTTCTTCATCCTCACTCCCCCATTCAGGTACTGTTCGACAAGTGACGGCGGGCTCCGTCAATGCCGTGGTTCTCATTACTAGATCCCTCTTATGGTTTATATCTAGAGACCCCCTAAAGTCTCATGGGATCATAGGTGAGACCTTCGGAGGGAGACTGGATTGGGGGGCTTATAGCCGACTTGCTGTTAGGAGGTGGGGTCTGGTTAGAAGAGGAGGGCCACTGGGTGTTGGCCTGGAAGGGCTGCTCTCCCTTCCTGGCTTCTCCTTTGGCTCTCTCTGCTTCCTGTCTACCCTGCAACCCTGTCTGGGAATGAGTGGATCATAAACTGAAACCTCTACAAAGTGTGAGACAAAATAAACCCTCCTCCTTTAAGTTGTGGGTGTCTGGTTTTGTGGCTCAGTGATGAGGAAAATAACTAAGACACCCCTTGAACATGGACTTCAGTTGTGGTGCAGTACTTTATTCTTATAATTTACTGTTTATAAAACATAGCTAATAATAATTACTTCAATTTATTGAGCCTAGATTTTGTGCTGGCCAGAGCAATAACATATATATATATATATTATCTCATTTAATTTTTACAACAAATTTATGAGATAGGTTCTACATCATCATCCTATGGGGATGAAACTGATTTAAATGAGTAACTTCTAGGCCTCAGGGTCCAGTAGCTGTTTACCAGCTGGTACCAGAATATTCTAATAATGGAACTACTGATATAACTCTATTGATATATACCAACTAAATAGCAGCTTTGGCTGTAATCTCTTTTCTTCTTCATGTTGCCAAATTGAAGACACAATGGCAGGAGCTAGAGCATGCATCAGGGCAAGCATAGAGCTTTTAAGGATGCCAAAGAAACAGGAGGGTAGCTTGGGCTCCTGACAACCATGTAGCTTGCCAGTGATAGAGCAGAACTTATGCTTTTAACCATACATCACTCTGTACTGTGTAAATGCTTATGTGCATGTATCACACTTAATACATCTGAAATAAAACATCTCATAAAAGTGCTGCCCTTATATGCAGTGTACTATTTTTTCCCTAAAGGCACTAGGGATTCAACTCAGAGCCTTCACACTGAGCCCTTTTTATTTTGAGGCAGGTCTCAATAAGTTGCCTAGTCAGGACCCCTTGCAATCTTCCTGTCTCAGCCTCCCAAAGTGCTGGGATTACATGCATGCACCACCATGCCTGGCTCCCATTTTCTATTTTACTCTAGCTTTTCTTTCCTTCCTCTTTTTCATTCCTTTCTTTTTTTCTTCTCCTTAATTTTGGTCATTGAGGCCAGGAATTTAGCTCAATGGTTCCACCGCCTGGCTCGCAAGCACAGAGTCCGATCCCTGGTACCAAAAAAAAAAAAAAAAAAAGAAGTAAATTTTGGTTTTCATTGTCTAAATTGATTTCACAGTGAATTGTGCCTCGCAGGGTGGGAAGTGCGGCTCCACAGCACACAGCAAATTGCACCCAGCGAAGGGCTGCCTTGAGGAAAGACTGGCAGAGGTGGTGCTTTGGTCTGGAGAAGGGAACATGGCGGGAGGGGTGGTGGTAGAGTACAAGCACACACCAGGTAGGCCCAGAGCACAGAACTGTCAGAGTGACAGGAACACTGCAGAAGGCCCTCTCTCCCAAGTGACCCCACAGGAGGGTCCTTCAACCTATGCTCCTGCTTTCCTTAGTGTCAGCTTCCTGGATTTTCGAGAACAGAAGGGAGAAGGAGTGACTATGGCTGTGAATTATCTAAAGCATTCGCATACTTTGGAGCACAACAAAGTCCTCAGCCTCCTTGTGTGCCTGTGCCCATAAACATCAGCTATGTCTGACCCTGACTGTCTTCCTGGCTTGGAGGACAAAAGGTCTGGGGAATGAACTCCTGGATGAAATGGGTCTTAGAGTGGGGAGTCTGGGGTTCCCTTGGGAAGAGATTGGCTCTATGCCTCTCCTCCAGCCAACTTGCCTCACAGCCCCTTGACAGTGCCCTCCTCTCCCTCCTCTGGGAAGCAGTGCCACATTCTGGTGTGAGAATCATTTGAGGGCCTGAATCACCTTCAAGGTCTAAAATTCTTGGGGACAGAAAACAGGAGCAGCCCTTCCTGAACCCACCTCCGCCTCCCCCTGAACTGGCAGGTTCTCCGTCCACCTCCATTGAGCCAGGGCCCTGATGAAGCCATTGTTTGATCCTGGCTTCAGGGGAAGAACCACGAGGTCAGAGTGTTGGGGAGAGAACCTTGGAGCTGGTGCTGCTGGTGTTTTGTAGTTACCAACTTGTCAGGGAACCCATTTTATTTTGGCCTATTGCATTTTCTTTCCCAAGACACAGCCCAGCACTTCTTGCCTGACTCCAAGTGTGGTCAGAGAGCAGCTATGACCTGCCCGCTCATGGCACTGGCTGCACTCCCTGCACAAAGCCTGACATCCTGCAGCTGCTTGGGTTTTATTGGTCTGAACTGCCGATTTGAAGGGAGTTAAGAGGATGGAACAATAGGAGGAGGACGTTATGGCTCAGGACAGCCAAGTGATGGAAGAGGAAAGGTATAAAGAGATGTTGGCACCGATGTCTATGAAATGTCAGAGGTGAACGAAGACCTCTCACTCAGCGTCTGGAAGCTAAACGACTATCTCTAGCCTGTCCTACCTTAAGGGATGTTTTGCAAAGTTCACCATGAAACACACCCCAGTGGAGGAGTGCTGAGGTTCTGGGGAACACTGAGTGTCACTTTCCACACCATCCTTTCCCTGCATATGGGGCTCACATGAGAAGTGGTGTAATTATGGGAATGACCTCCAGTCTGCTCTCATTTCTTTTAAAGCACAGTTTATCGTTTACAAACCTTGGTACTTTAGTTATTGATAAGAAATTATTTGCATCTTCATCATTAATTAAAGCCTCTGTTGTTGGGTCCCTGTAAAAGCTGCCTTTCCTGTCTCATTCAGGGAAGGCATTTCAAATTTCACACTGAGGAAATGGGAAATTTCACTTCATGAAATTTCAGTGCGGTGGTCAGATCTTTTTTGGGGGGGGAGGGTACCGGGGATCGAACTCGGGACCTTGTGCTTGCGAGGCAGGTGGCAAAACCACTGAGCTAAATCCCTAGCCCTCAGGTCAGATCTATTTTTAACCTGGCCTCTCTTCTGCATGCTCTACTGCTGAGATCTTAAACTAGGATTCAGGGGTTCAAATCCCAGCTCTGTCCATTATGTGCAGCTGGGTGAACTTACAGGTAAGAAAGCCAGACTGTGTGGGGCCCAGACTGAGACTTAGTGAGGCAGGACTTCTCTCATATAGAGAACAACCACAATAAACCCGCTGGCCTGAGAGACAATGACAACAGTCCCAGAGAGATTGTCCACATGAAAGAAGAGTAGCACCGTCTACATGTTATTATTATCTTATGTTTTGTTTTTTTGGTACCAGGGATCGAACTCGGGTCCTTGCATACATATCAGTTATCGACGGTGCAGGAGGCAATCTGACATTACCTTTTCTTGGAACTTGAACAGCTCAGGAATTCATTGACATCAAACCCAATGGTGCATACGTGGTCTTTATTTATGGCTGTAAAAGAAGTAGTTTAACTCTACATAAAGCTCAACAAAGAACATGCACATCTGAAATTAGTTTTCTTCATTCATAAAAAAACACCTAAACTCCAAGCAATGGTTCCAAGAGCCTTTGAAAATACCACAGCCTAAGGACTCAAGGAGGTCAGATGCTTCTGACCTGCTCATGACTTAAAACAGTGGTCCTCACACTTCCGGGTGAATTGAATCACCTACCGACCTGTTGGGGCATACTGCTGGACCACCCCAGAGTCTCCATCAAGAAGGACTGGGAGGGATCTGTGAGATGCATTCTATCTCCAAGTGATGCTTATCCTATGCTGCTGGTCTGGGACCAAAACTTGGAAACAGTTGAGAAGAACTCAAATAGAAAGCAGTGGAATTTTTATTTTGTTTTTTAAGGGGGTTTTTGTTGTTGTTGGTTTTTTTTTTTTTTTGAAAAAAGGTCTCATTGTATAGCCCAGGCTGGTTTTGAACTCATGGCAATCCTCTTGCCTCAGCCTCCCAAGTGCTGGGATTACAGGCATGGGCCACCATACCTGGCTAGCAGTGGAATTTTTATTGCTGGTGTTTTAAATTGTGGTTTAAGCTGGGCATGGTGGCTCACACTTACAATCCCAGCTACTCAGGAGACTAAAGCAGGAGAATCACAAGTTCAAGGACAGCCTGGAAAACTTAGCAAGACCCTGTCTTTAAAAAAAAAAAAAAGGGTTGGGGATATGGCTTAGTATGGCTTGCCCAGCATATGAGAGGCCCTGAGTTCAGTACTGAAAAAAATTGTGGTTTAAATATACAATAACAGTTACCATCTTAACCATTTATCACAGGGTAGCACTTAAGAACAGAATTCATTATGCTATCAAAGCCGAGTTAGGGTGAGGTATTAAATGGATCTGTGGACCAGCTTCAGGAGGCTGTGGAGCCAGCACAGTGCCGGGAGGGTTGCAGGTGGTGGAAAGGGCACCAATTTTCCCATATGCTGGCCTGTGGATAGGGTGACAGAACTGAGTATCAGGACACTCCAGCACTGCCCCTGTACCCCTTCCTGTAGTCTCCAGTGGCCTCGTGTGGTACAGACCCCCACCTCTCCCCAAATCACTTAGCCTGGGAGCAGCTTCTTGATTCATGGTCAATCAGATTCACTGTCAGGAATTTGAACCAGATGCTGAAAAGACAGTCCTTGAGCTGCAGGTCCTCCCTTTGCGGGTTTTTAGCATCTTCTGTGCCCACCAAGTCCATGTGCAAGGTGAGGTAACAGGGACACAGAACAAGGTTAAGCAGAGGGCAAGGGTTAGCCTCTCAACGCTGGAGCGGCCTGAGGCAGCCCTGCAGAATGGGGCACAGATAAGGGAGCTTGTCATGGAAGGGAGACAGGCAAAGAGATGTTTCCATGCCGCTCACATTAAGCCGGGTGGTCCTCATTTCCCTCAGAGGCATCCTTGTGCAGACCCTTGCCTCTTGGGGCAGCAGGAAGTGGTTGCCAAGAAAGGCAGGGCACTCGATTCCACCAGGGGTGGGCTCTCAGTCCAGGCCTCCTCCTGTTCCCCTCCTGCTACTGAACCCACGCTTTCAAGTCTGCTGCCCACCAAGTCAGGGTACCAGATGTCATTCAAAACCCCTCTGGTGATGGGCCACTCACCTTCAAAAAGGCTGAAGAGCATCCTGGCAGGGTTCTTTTTGGTAGAGGGACAATCTTGAAGTTTTAGAGTAAAGATGAAAACTTTCACTTTTGGCTCAATGCTCTGAAACAGAAACAGAACAGCAAGTGAACTGATGCTACCTAGAAAGTATCTTTTTCTTTCCCTTTTTTGGGAAGTTATCTTTTTTGATAACATCTAGTTTCAAAGTGAGAAGGTACAAATGCTCCAGCATTAAAAATGACCTCCAGCCACCTCAATTAATTAGGGTGGCTGCCTCTAGACTCTGAAGGAGAAAGATCTACTCTTCTCAGTACCACAGGCCACCCTCCCACCCCAACCAAAGTGGCACCATCTCAGCCTCACAAGGAACCTCTTAGTGCCAGGCACTGTGTCAGGAACACATTTGGTCACATCTGGAGTCTGCATTACTCCAGAAGCTTATTGAGATCCCATCATCACCATACTTATAAATGGTCTGGGCTGTGCTTCAAAATAATCCAGTTTCAAAGGGCAAAGAGGAGTAGTGTAGGTGAAATAATAGTACTAAAACTGGTGATGGCTTCATAGGGGTTCTTTAGACTTTTCTCCTTACTTTTAGATATATTTGAAATTTTCCATGCCAAAAAGCTGAAGAGCTGTCATCTTTTGTTAAATCTTATTTTTATTGGCACATGTTTACAGTACATGACGACATTCATCCTGGGGAGTGGGTGTCTGTACATAACACATCTTAATTCTTTTTGTCCCCTTCTCCGCTCTGTCCTGTCAGCATTAAAATTGGAGCAGGTGCAATTGCTTTCCTATTTTTTTTCCCCCTAGGCACTTCAATGTCAAGGGAAATATCTCCAGGATGACATGTTTGACTTTATTTTAAATTACCTCTTTTGAGAAGCTGGAGGTTTCATCATTTTTCCCATATTAACTTTTTCCTCCTTTGAACAGTTAAAGGCTACCGGGAGATACCAGTAGCAACTACTTACAAAGGATCCAGGTAAATTTACAGTACTTTCTCATAGCTGCCTGTGAGGAATGTCCCTTTTTTGCAGATGAGGCATCTAAGCCTCTGAGAAGCTGAGTGAGTGGCCCATGACCACCGGCGTAGTGGAGTTGTGACTCTACACAGCCTTCCTCCTTTCCATGAGCTGGGGTCACTTTGTGGGAGAGATAAAGGACTGGGGTGGTGTGCTTACAGAATGGTATTTTTTCCCTCCTGAAATATTCACCCGGAAGGCCAGAACTGACCTTTTCCAAGACTGGTGAGCGAGAGGAGCCTTTGAGGGTCTGTCCTGCCTGCTGCTCAGTGGAGAGAGCCTGGATAGACAGGACCTTTTCTGGTAGACGGACACGGCGCTCCTCACAGGCCTCCTGCTACAGTTAGAACTGGGGCCGTGCTGTGGCTCTTTATCAAGGTGCGGGGCCTGCGGACGTGGCCGAGACACCTGTGTGCCACTGATAAGCTGCAGCTGAGGCCAGAGGCATTCAGCCTTCAGGTGCTCCGGGGAGCGTGCAGGAGGGGGGAGCGCTTGCCCCTTGCTCCCTGCACCGCCCACAGAAGAGGCCCCAAGGGGAGAGTGGGGGACCTAGGGTGAGGCTGGAAGGTATGTGAGGAGGAAGCTGTGGGCTGTGTGCTTTGGCTCCTGAGAAAGCAACTCAGCCTTTCTCCTCAGGGAGAACTCTGTTCTTCCTGTCCCTGGTGTGATAAATATGTATTGGAAATGCAACCAGGCATCTGTGATGCCTGAGGACAGTCTCTTCTCTGGCTCAGCCACTGTCATTGTCATTCTGAATCTTTTTGTTGTTCTGTGGTGCTCTACACTGAGCTATGCTCCCAGCCCCATTTTGATTTTGTTTTGATTTTTGAGACAGGGTTTCACTATGTAGTTCAGGCTGGCCTTGAACTAGCAACAATTCTCCTGCTTCAGCCTCCTGAATGCTGGGATTATAGGTGTGCACCATCATGCCCACCTTGAATTTTTTTTTTTTCAGTACTGGGAATTGAACTCAGGGCCTTCCCACTGAACTACATCCCCAGCCCCTTTTTGCTTTTTTATTTAGAGAGTGGGTCTTACTAAGTCGCTAAATTGCCCAATCTGTACTCAACTTTGTAATCTTCCTGCCTTAGCCTCCTACAGTGCTGGAATTACAGGTGTACACCAGGATGGCTGGCTCCATTCTGAATCTTTGAGGCTGCATCTGAGCTGTCAAGTGTAACATCTGGAATTAATTTCCACTATAGGAAACGAAAAAGGATCTGTTGTGAGATATAAAAAATGGCTGCTAAATCTGTCCATGAAAAATTTACTACAGTCTTTGGCAGGCCAACTATGGACTGAGGTGTCACAGTGTTATCCAGACACTGGCAGGAGTAGGCCTTCTTACAGACGTGACATAAAAAGGAAGCACTATAAACCACATCCTCAGGTAGCTTCCAGTGCTCCTGTTGCCTGCTGCTCAGAGGCATGTGGCATCTGCATAATCAAGATGGCTTTAAAATGTCCTTAGGTCTGAACCCATTAGCTTGGCCACAAGCTCTGGTTTAATTCCTTGAGAAGGACAGAAGACATTTTTGTTTTCACAGGCATAAGCAGACCTCAAAGACACCACAAGGCTATCTAAGACCTGGAAATCGCATCAGTAAGTCCCAAACTACAGTCTCTGGGTTGCAAGCAAATTCAGGTTCAGGTGAGATACTTACAACAACAACAACAACAACCCAACAATAACGAATATTAGCCTGGTGTGGTGCTGTAATCCCAGAACTCTGAGAGGAGGATTGCAAATTGAAACTCAACCCAGGAAATTTAGTGAGGTCCTGTCTCAAAATGAAAAATAAAAAAGGGATGAGGATGTAGCTAAGTGTGAAGACACTGGGTTCAATGCCCGGTACTGAACACCCCCCAGCCCGCCAAAAAAACCAAAATCAATTAAAATTATATGTGATTTTTAAGAATGCAATCTTTGGGTTGTAGCTCAGTGGTAGAGCACTTGCATGTGTGAGGCCCTGGGTTCAGTTCCCTGCACTGCAAAACAAAAACAAAAAAGGGAAAAAATAGTCTTCATTACAACATTTGCACACCTCAGACCTATTTTTGTTTTGGAGGTGCAGTGCAGTGTCTTAGAATGATAAAGCCCTGGCTCAAATCCTACCTTCAGTGCTCGCTAACATCTGACCCTGGCTAAGTACATCAGGCAGTTTTACATGGCTGTGCAACTGCTATAGCTTGGATACGGTGTGTGTCGCCTGCCAAAGGTTCACGTGTTGGACACTTGGTCCCTGCAGTGCTGTTAGAAGGCGGTGGAAACTTTGGGGGGGGATGGCAGGAGGTCATCAGCTCAATTGGCCCTCAGGAGAGGCTGTGCGGCCTCAGTCTCTCCAGCTCCCCAGTTTGGTCAGTGACACTGCCCTAACACACATCCTCTCACCGTGATGTAAAGCAGCCAAGAGGGTGAGCCAGGGGTGAGCTGATGGGAGTACCAGGCCCTTGAGTCTCCAGTACTGGGAGCTAAATAAATCTCTTTTCTTTATGAACTTAGCTTGCCTCTGGTATTTTGTTGGAGCAATGTAAAATGAACTAATACAGCAACTATCACTACAATCAGTGAACTGTCTTTTTTGGGGGGGCGGGTACTGGGCATCAAACTCTGGTCCTTGTGCTTGCGCAGCAGGCGGTGAAACCACTGAGCTAAATCCCCGGCCCAGTGAACTGTCTTTTTAAAGTAGTTTTTTCAGTAGTTTTCCACATGAGGCAGCACAGGATCTATGTGAATACCTTAACAAGTTAACCCTTGTTACCTTTTCTAAGAAATACTGCATCTAACATCCTAATGTTCTCTACAGATGCTTTCAATGGAAATCTCCCTAGATGCAACTTGGCAGGTTCTGACTGTTGGTGCAAGTTCAGTTCATGCATTAGCCAAAGTATTAAATGTCTAATATGCTCTCAGAAACATTCACCATTGATCACTGATGTGGAAAAGGGCTCCGGTTACCTGCAATTTATTCAGCTTCTCTGGTAGACTTGCCTCACTTTGGCATTCATAAGACAAATCAAGAGAGAGGAAATCAACTGAATCCTAGAAGTAAGTAAATACAGTCATTAGAACATAAGTAATTTTGGGCTGGAGATTTAGCTCAGTGGTTCCGCTGCCTGGCTTGCAAGCACAAGGTCCTGAGTTCAATCCCCAATACCAAAAAAAAAAAAAAAAAGGACATAAGCAATTTCAAGACAAAGACCTGTTCAAACTGTTTTTTGTTTCTTCCCTTATTACTAAACTACTCCAAAGTGGGGCATTACAAAGGAAAAGGGCACTGGAAAATTCTGGGGATGTGTGTGCCAGTAGGTGTTCCCGAGTATTATTGGGAAGATATATCATCTATGTCAGTGATTGTGAACCTTTTAGAGCTTTCAGTAATAACAACCAACCAGCTGTAACGTGTGCCACAGGTTCACACGCACTGGATTCTATGTGCTTAGCCAACATCTTGGCATGCAGAAAGCACTCAACAAGTGTGTATAATTAAACAAATAAGTAAATAAGCCTTCCAGAAATGGTGGGTTCCACCATTAGATAAGCAGTAAGGGAAGGAGCTGAAATCCAGAGCTGTTTCCAGGCAGCATGGCCCTCATGATCTCTGTAAACCTTAGTGGGTTTGGGGTGTTGTTTTAATTTCAGGACACATTTTGAAGTCCACCTCAGTTAACCCTAGCTGGACCCACTCTACCAGCTGAAAGCACAACCTTCATAGTCCCATCATTGACATTTTCATATACACTCTCATTAATGACTTATCACTCTACCCTGCCCCTGGCCTGCATGTGCTTGAAGCGCTTCAAGGAGTCTAAGATGATGGAGACACCACTGTGATTCACTCCCTGCTTCCCTGAGCAAGCCTAGCTGGCTGCTCCATTTCTATCGCTGTTGTGATTAGATCATTGCTTACCTTCTGGCTCTCACAGGTCATCTATCAGTGGTGGCGGATCTATGGCATGCATGCCACACCAGGCTATTTGTTATCATTGAAAGCTCTAAACGTATTGGCATCACTGCCTTATTTCCTTAGACAAGGACGGTGGATAATGGCATCAGGTGAGAACTCTCATAACTGATTCACTACCGACTCCCCACTGCTTTCCCACTTGTTATCATCAGTAATTACTAAAGACTCCATGATGGCAAATATCACTTAAACTTTCCCCTACCCATCCTCTCAGTTCTGCTTCTGTTTCTCAGTTACATACAACACAGCAATAGGTTTCTGACTTTTGAAAGTTATTGTTTTGGGAACATGAGTCAGGAGTTACATTTAAAGATGAATGAGATCCATAGAAGCTTAACATTTAATAAGGTTAATAAATGCACCAATTACATTAAGAAAAGACAGAAAAATAGATTGTTATAAGAAAAGGCCTCACTCGTTATGCTCAAATCTTAGTGAGGAGAGACTGTGGGGAACTTGGTACACCTTCGAAGGGCCCAGGCCTGTCCCTCCACACCAAGGTGCTCTTTACTAGCTCGCTAAGTGATTCTGATACAGAACAAACCTTGGGAGCTGGTGATCTAGACAAATAGCTAAGGGTTCCAACTGGGGAAAGAGTTCCAGTTGGGGAAAGAGTTAATCAGATTCAGCAAGGAGTGTTACGTTTCCCCGTGGAGAGCACATTCACATGCATAGTAACCAGAGGTAGAATTTTGCTGGAAAAAAAGATTTGAGGAAGGAGGGAGTACAGGAAGGACATCAAATAAATGTCATGCATTATACAAGAGAGTAGAAAGAGAGCATAGGGATATGTACTGGGTAAAACAAGTGTGGCTGGATAGATGACAAATAGACATATACAGTATACACACACACTGGAAAGTCCCCAGGAATTTACACTGATTCAGGGGAATGTGGCTTCCCAGCAGGGAATCTATCACAACCATGCTTTTGAATGATTGCTCTGAAACATTGTACAGCGTGGATGAGGCAGAAGGATCAGTTCAAAGACTGCTGCTGAACAAGTATTTTTAAAATCAGCACTTTGGTTATAACTGATAGCAGTTATTACCCTTTGTAAATTAATTTAGATGGCATTCTGGCCATGTAGTCAGCCTGATAGTTGCCTGTTCAGAATCTTATCATATCTAGGTTTTAAGTACTTGAACTGGTGAATCTGAAAACTGAACCCTGACACGTGTGGCCCTGTGAAAGCACAGACACCGTGAGCAGTGTGGTGGCATCAGCACATTGTCAAAGCCACAGAACCACACAGATCAGCTGTTTTTTCTGAAGGCTTCCCACATTGTCTAGCTTCCCACATTGTCTAGCATCCCAAAGGGGGCAAAGCTGTTTACTGCTCAGATGTTTTCATTTTTCTTTTAAAAAAATCATTGTTAAATTACAAAGGAAGTAGAAAACTATGAAGGGGACTTAGGGAGCACATTTTAAAGCCCCTTTAAAATATCTGTTTTAATATAAACCAATTTCTTCTGTAATAAGCTATTTTGGACTCAATAAAAAAAAAATCAGAGCAGGGTCAGGGATTTAGCTCAGTGGTTCTGCCACTTGCCTTGCAAGCACAAGGTCCTGAGTTTGATCACCCATACCAAAAAAAAAAAAAAATCAGAGCAAGCAGAATCATTTGGCTTCTTCGTATAGGCAAGCTGACACCAAGCTGACACTTGATTGAGCAAGAGCTTGTGCTGCAACAAATACGGTTTTGCTTTTAAAGTAATTATGAATTTAGAGACTGTATATCACTCAGAAGAGGCATTTATGAAAGTCTCAAATCAGCAGATGGAAATTTCACTTGTTTTGAACAATTAAAGCCACAACTTTCCTCAGATGATGGTATGTCTTTGCATTGTGGTCACCTTGGCAAGTGCAGACACAGATGGTTCCAGCAGGGCCTCCAAGAGATCGTCTGAGGGGAGGACCACAGAGAGCTTTCCACCTGAAACCAACCAAAGGAACAAACAGCAGGTGAGCGAGGGCAGCAGGCTCTAACCACGGAAACCACGGATGGGGGCACTCATTTCCTATTGACCTTTCTGTTAGAAGGTTACCAACTTTAAAAAAAAAGATTTCTGAAGAAATCACTCACATGGCTTAGCTGAAAGATTTTAGAAAACAAGGTGCCTAAAAAAAAAAGTATGAATCAGGACTATGACACTCAAAGAACTTAGAAAAATCTTTTAGAATAAAAACAATTACCCTGCCCCACCACCTGCAACATAAAAAGTAAGGAAAGAACTCCTTCCCATACCTTGTCAAAGGAAGGGCGCTCTCAGGAAACTGCTATTTATTTCATCCTTATTCAATGTACAAACATCAATAGAGGGGAAAACAAAGGAAATGATAACATGTGCAGCTTGTTTTGCTTTGACATTAAGCAGCCTAATAGTGGTTCTCAAACTTTTATGTGCATCAGAATCACCTGCCAAGATGGGTTAGAGAATGCCAATTTACAGGCCCTGCCGTTTGATGTGGATTCAGCAGATTAGGGTGGGCTGAGGTGATTCTGCTGCGTGGTCCTCAGACCACAAAATGTGAGAAACAGTGCTGCAGAGTTGAAATGCCTCATTGCTTTATGTTTCCAACTCTTTGATGCACATGAATCTTCATCCTATACCAGACTGTATCCATAAGAAGGAAGACTTACATTTCTTAAACTGGGTATGGTGGTGCATGCCTATAATCCTAGCACGTGGGAGGCTGAAGCAGGAGGATCACCATGAGTCAAGGTTGGCCTGTACTACATAACAAGAGCCTGTCTCAAAAAAACAAAATCAAAACAACAAAAACCCAGTTCTTTAATCCCTCCAAGAATCAAGTTTAGGACTGGGCGCATAGAAGGTACTCAGAACTGTGATTTGGAAACATTAAACAAAAATTGAATAAAAGTAGAGTTCAAGACTTAAACTGGAGGATTATATGACTGACTTTTCTTCCATCTAAACTCTACAGGAGGAAAATATCCCCAGCCAAGAAAACCACCATTAACAACTACTACCAATTACAACATGCTTATTTTCATAAATATAATGGAACTTTGAAAACCTCTGAATAGGGAACATTTAGTCCTCATTCTGATAAGATAATGCTGTTTTCTAGGTACTCAAAGATTGGCCTTATGGATCAATTCACCTTCCAGAGATTTCCACACTTCAACATATCATCAAATCAGCATGTACAAAATATGTGTTCTCAGCCTGTACAATCTGTTGTTATCTAAGTAACAATAAAACGAGGGGCCAGGGATTTAGCTCAGTGGTTCCAACGTCTGCCTCACAAGCACAAGGTCCTGAGTTCGATCCCTGGTACCAAAAACAAAATAAGTAACAATAAAATGAAACAGAAGTGCAGTATAAACAATTCTTATGCACAGTTAACACATAGATCATTTCTATTTGATTTTGCAAACTTTTTACAGCATGAACCAATGCCTCTGAAGTTACAGAATTTCTCACAGTATACAAAATAAAGTCTACAAATATGGTTCCTGACCTGTACCCAATACAAGCATAAACTATACTTCCTAAAATGATGCAAAAATGCAGATTATTTAAAACTAGATTTTCTCTCTAAACTTGTAGTTCATGTTTTCTTTGGGATTGTAAAGGGATAATTGTTCTGGTGTAAGATAATTTTTCTTGCAGTTTTTGCTGGATATAGTTAAAGATAGATGTTCATGTCTCTAGAACTCAAAAATCAAGTTGAGAATTGTTTGTATTCAGCCTGTGTAGAAAATAACGGCACCATATTGTGGAATCTCATATTCAATGATTCCAAGGCATCTTTAAATATTTTGGGCCTCACTGAAGCATAAGCTAGGCTCGCTTCTGTTTTCACCACAAAGGTCAGTTGTTCCTCTGAAAATCACTGCAGCCATCAACAAAACACAGCCCCCTTCCCCTGTGCCCTGAATGTGTCCATAAACATAATCTGGCCAATGCTGAACTGCCAGTATCTGTTCTCCAAGCCACTACTGCCAGTGTGTGTGTGGGGGGTCACTAGGATTTACCCTGGGGTGTGTCGCCATACAATGCAAAGTGAGGTGCTGTGTGCGATTCTGGATTCTGCTCTTCCGGTCAGAGGGACCTACACTCTTCTCCCATCCCTCCAACTCTACTAAGAATCATCTCTTCTTTTGTATCCTCCCCAGTGACAGCACACCCAACAAATCAATGTTTTTTGTTTTTTGGGGTTTTTTTGGTACCAGGGATCGAACTTGGGACCTTGTGCTTGAGAGGCAGGCACCGGAACCACTGAACTAAATCCCCGGCCCAAATCAATGAATTTTATAATAACACACAAAGAAAGATTACAAAAGAATTTTTTTTCACTGCTAAAAATTGTGGCAGGTATCCATAACAAAAATTATCATTTTAAACATTTTTAAGTGTACAATTCAGTAGCATTGTTTATACTGCACATTGTGGTTTGTTTTTACAGAACTCGAAATGGAACCCAGGGCCTGACACATGCACATGCTAGGCAAGTACTCCATCACTGATCTACGTCCGAAGGCTGTTTTATTTTTATAGTATAGCTAAATTGCCCTCACTGGTCTTGAACTCACAACCCTCCTGTCACAGCCTCCTGGATAGCTGAGATTACAACTGTATACCACTGTATCCATCTATCTCCATGAATCTGACTATTCTGGGCACCGTGTGTAAGTGAGTGGACTCAGTGTTTGTCCTTTTGTGTCTGCCTTACTTCACTTAGTATAATAGCTTCCAAGTTCATCTATGTTATGTGTTAGAATTTCCTTCCTTTTTAAGGCTGAATATATTTCATTGTATATACCTACCACATTTTATGTATTCATTTGTAAATGGACATTTAGGTTGTTTCTACCTTTTGAATATATTCTACTTTATGAAGAATGCTATGAATATCATTCTACAAATACTTGTTCAAGAACCAGTTTTCATTTCATTTGGGTATATAGCTACAAGTGGAATTGCTGGGACATGTGGTAATTCTAGGTTAAAATGTTTAAGGAATCGCCACACAGTTGTCCACAGTAGCTGCACACAATTTTATCTTCCTGGCAGCAATTCTTTATAACCTCACCAGCATTTATTATTTTTTGCATGTAAACATGTTTGGATAATAGATATGATGTGATAATGTGTGTGTGTGTGTTTTTCTGTTTTACACTGCTGGGGATCAAAGTAAGGGGGTCATTATACCACTGAGCTATGCTTCTGGTCCCTTCTTGTGGTTTGACATTTTCTTATAGATTAATGAAGTTGTGCCTATTGATTTTTTTTTTTTTTTTGGCAGTACTGGGAATTGAACCTAGGGCCTTCATACTGAGCTACATCCCCAATCCTTTTTAAAATTTCTATTTTGAGACAGGGTCTTGCTAGGTTACTAAATTGCCCAGGTTAGATGTGACCTTGTGATCCTCCTACCTCAGCCTCCCAGAGGGCTGGGATTACAGTCATGTGCCACCAGGCCAAATTCTTTTGCCTTTTTTTTTTTTTTGAGACAAAGTCTTGCTATGTAGTCCATGCTGGTCTCGAACTCATGATGATTCTCCTGCCTCCTGCCTCATTTGGCCATATATGGGAGGGTTTATTTCTGGGCCACCTATTCTATTCCACCAGCCTCTGTCTGTTTTTATGTCAGCACCATATTGTTTTGATTTTTGTGGCTTTGTAAATTTTATTTTTTGGTACCTGGGATCGAACTCTGGACCTTGTGGTTGTGAGGCAGGCGGTGGAACCACTGAGCTAAATCCCCGGCCCCTGGCTTTGTAAATTTTAAAGTCAGGAGGTATGAGTCCTCCAACTTTGTTTTTGTTTTTCAAGATTATTTTGGCTATTCAGAATCCTTTGAATTTGTTGTTGTTGTTGTTGTTTTTTGCAGTACTAGGGATCGAACTCAGGACCTTGTAGTAAATCCTTGGACTTCTTTGAGATTCTTGATGACTCTAAGGATGGATTTTTTTGTGGGTAGGGAAAAGAAAAGACATTGGGATCTGGATAGCAATGTCATTGAATTGTTGTGTTGCTTTGGGTAATACTAACATCTCAAACAATGTTAAGTCTTTCCATTTTTTCATGTCTTTAATTTTTTTTTTTTTGAGACAGGGTCTCACTCTGTAATTCAGGCTGGCCTTGAACTCACTATGTGTAGGGAACAGGGAAAGGGGACGTTACTAGAACCTCTGCAGTAAGTCCTAGTCACCTGCAAGCCACAACAGCATAAGATGAATTGACTTATTAGACAGGAAAGATAGAAGAAATAAAACTTAGAGAAGGAAGCTGAGCTTTGGGCCTGATCAGTGCTGCTCTGGGGGACAAAAACAAAAGTCTCCCAATTCATCACCTTTATTCAGTACATCAGGAGAAACAAATGTAAATGTAACTCTCAGGGCAGAGAGTTCAGTACATCAGAGAGTGACAAATGTAAAAGGTGATTCAGAGGGCAGAGGCGGCAGTGGTGCCTGCCCAGGCTGGGGAGGGCAGGCATAGCTGCCCCGTGGGCTTCCTAACGTTAACACTTCAGTAGCGTTGTGGGGTGTCGGGGCGGCTCTCCCAGGCCCTGCTCCCCCAGCCACCCACTCATGACTCTTAAGTTGTTTGTTGTAGTAACATTTATTTATTTGGAGATGTTATTTATTAGATTATATTTATTGCAGAATTCCTTTTTGCTTTTCTTTTCTTTTTCTTTTTTTTTGGTACTAGGAATCAAACTCAGGGCCTGGGGCTTGCCAGGCAGGCACTGTGCCTGAGCTACATCCCTGGCCCAGAATTTCTATTCTTATATTAACAAATAAAATGCTTGCCCCAGGGGAAAAAACAGACTAATCAAACTATGAAATTAAGATCTGTGCATTTCACTGTATATAAATCATACCATGACAGAATTCTTAAGAAAAAATCAGTTGCATTTCATACCATATATTTTCTAATCATCAGTAAATGGGAATTTACTTCTTTAAGACATAGTCTTTAAAACATGATGGAGGAGCTAGGTGTGTGGTGCACATCTGTAATCCCAGCACTAGGGAGGCTGAGGTAGGAGGATTACCACAAATTTTGAGGCCAGCCTGGGCTAAATAGTGAGGTAAAGTTTAGTCTGAACTACAAAGTGAGACCCTGTCTCAAAAATAGAAGAAAAAAAAGAGCAAAAAACCAAAAACCAATCATGATGGATGTGCTTTGAGTGCTAAAATACCACTTTCCAGCTTGTACCAAGAGGTTACTGTGGACACTAGAGAGAAAAGCTATGGAGTAGTAAATAGCAAACAGAACTTTTAGCAAAGTGGTAACCTAGGGTGAGGGGTTGGGGAAGATTACATGTAAATTATGAAATGGTTTGTTTTGTTCTGTTTCGCAGTTTGTCTTGTTTTATAAACCATCACCCCTCCTGCTTATTTATTGCACTGGGGATTGAACCCAGGGTCTTATGCATGCTGAGTGTACACTAGCACTGAGTCACACCTTCAGCCCTTTTTACTGTTTTTGTTGATATAATTTATACAGCATAACACTGACCCCACCTCTTTTTTGAGACAAGGTCTCTCTGTGTAGTTCAGTCTGTTCTTGAACTCACTATGTAGCCCAAGCTGGCCTTGAACTCACAGTGACCCTTCGGCCTCGGTCTCCCAAGTGCTGGGATTACAGGTGTGCGCCATCACATCTAGCTTTTCACTAATCTCTTTAAAGTGCAAAGTCAGTATGTGGGGTTTTTTTTAAACTTTTAAAGGAGAAGAGATTTAGTTTGGCTCACGTAACTCAGTGGTTTTTAGTTGTATTCATAAAGCTATGAAACCATGTCTGGTGTCTAATCTCAGAACATTGCTGTCATCCCAGAGGGTATCTGTGGCCATTAGCAGTTACTCTCTTTTTCTTTTTTGGTACCGGGGATTGAACTCGGATCTTTGGGCTTGCACAGCAGGCGGCGAACCACTGAGCTAAATCCCTAGCCCAGCAGTTGCTCTCTATCTTTCCCCTATCCCTGGATATCAGCCCAGCTGATTAAAAAAATTATATCATTTAAAACTGGCAGAATGGGGTCAGAAGACAATTTAAAAACTGTTGGTATAATTTAGCATCATACTTTAAAGTCTTAAAGAATGCAGATCTTCTCAACCACAAATTTCAGTTCTAAAAAACTATAGAAAGGGATTTATCAGAAGGTGTCCAAGAATTTACATATAGGAATGTTCAATGCAACGTAATCTGTAATAGTGAAAATTAGAATAAATTTATATACATGAGAGGCTGAGGGTGCAGCTTAGTAGTAGGGTGCTTGCCTAGCATGCATGAGGCCCTAGGTTTGGTCCCTAGCATTGTGAAAAAACAAAAACAGAAAGAGAAAAAAGGGAAATATTTTAAATTTTATGATCTATTAATGTGATGGGAACTCACAAGACTACTGAAAATCACATTTTCAGAGTTTTTAAGGGCTCAGGATGTGGCTCAGTGGCAAAGCACTTCCCTAGCAGATGTGAGGCCTTGTGTTTGATTCCCAGCACCATCCTCCCCAAAGTCAAAGAATTTTTAATAATACACCCTCATAAAATGTTAAGTTTTAAAAGTACAAGCATGAATATATTAATAATTTATTTATTGCACACACTAAAAATAAGAAAGCATATATAGTCTTAAACAGGTTCTTCAAATTGGTATACCTGCCAGGTGTGGTGGCACATACCTACAATCCCAACACTCGAGAGGCTGAGGTAGGAGGATCGCTGCAAGTTTGAGGCCAGCCTGGGCTACATAGTGAATTCAAGGCCAGCCTAAACTACACAATGAGACCCTGTCTCAAAAACAAATAAGCAAAATAAATAGCTATACCCAACATCCACTTAGGGAATTTATTAAAATGATAAATATCCTGGTTTTGCCTATACCTATTGAATCAGAACTTCAAGTTACCTATGAAACAGAAATATGAACAGTTAAAGTTAGAATCTTCTCAGGGATATGTGTGTAGGTCAGTGGCAACATAGCATGCATGAGGTCCTGGATTCAATCCCTATCAATGGAAGAAAAAAAAAATACCTGTCTGACATTATTTTATCTTGTATTTGCCTGGCTCTCCTGATGGAATGTAAGGTCCAATCAGAATGTATAAATTGGTCTTCTTCAGATAAAGGAGGGTTGGGGGAGAAACATGGGCTCTTCTTAGAGCCCTGAGGGAGGCAGACCTCCCTGGGAAGGGAAGGAGGACAGATGTTCAGTGGCTGCATAGACTCAAGTCTGGGCAGGGAGGTTAAAATGTATTTTTCAAAGGAAATAATGTACTAAATGTTATGTAGTATGCGCCACCCCTTCCTATGTCCACTGGGAAAACAATACAACATTGGCTTCTCATTACCGTACAGCTATGAGGAGTCTATTCAAAATGAGTGGGAAGAAATGCTTCATCCTGCTTTAAAGTGATGGGGCAGGTGGGTGATAAAGGCTGACAGTGGGTCTGCCAGCAGGGGCAATGGTACTTACCCTGAGAAGCATATTTTGCATGGTAAATCTCATAGACTTTTCTGTGGGCATCAGTGAGGGTTTGGAGATGAGAAGCTCTTGATTCCTTGTGGGAAAGACCCATCATCGTCCCCTTTAAGTCACTAAAGGTGAACCAGATTCCAACTAGGTCCCCAAAGGAGTGGAAGGCGAATGTGGCATAGTCAGCAAAGAGGTCAGCAAAGACTCTGCTTCTCTGGAGAGTGCTTGTGGGGAGGGTCTGGTGATGCAGGATGACCATGGGCTGAAGCTGTGCAGTCTTGAGGGCCTCAAGGAGTTGCCGGTAGCACTGCAGCGTTTTCCCATCTGGATTCCTGGAGCTTCCTGATGGGAGAAGTTGTGCCCATGATAGAAATACTTTATAGTGGGTGATCTTACTGTTATGAAGACTTTTGAAGTACTCTGGTATGAAAGAAGGCAGTGGCTGGTGGCAAGTATAAATGTCCTTGTACCCAGCTACAAAATGAGAACTCTGGTTTCCCAGTAGGTGGCTCAGGTTGTGCAGTAAGTCACTGGTTAGAGGACCAGCTGCTGAAATGAAATTTCTATCAGATTCCCAGTCTGACCCCTGGCATGAAAAACTCAGGAGAATAATGAGGGCCACTTTCCAAGATGGTTCCATTTTCAAGGTGGTCTCAGGAGCTATCTGGAAGAAATCCTGATTTTATAACTACAGCTAAGTTTGTAAAATATTAAGTGATTATTAGTACAATGTTTAACTGGGTTATCTATGATAATGTAATCAGTACATGGCTCACCAATGTAATATTTAAAAATATAAAGGCCATAAGAGATAAAACAAAAAAACCTTTAACTTTCACCTGGGAGAGGATCCTGGAAAATGTCTGAAAAAAATTTTCCACTTTTTGTTTTACTAAATACTTTAAAATATCTTGACATAATATAGCAAAAGTGAGTCCTTTATTAACTTTTTCCCCTTTGAAAATAGGTGAATAATGAACACATAAGAGATTCAAACAATATAGAAACATCCATGAAAACCTTGCAAACTCCTCTGCCTACTCCCTTCCCTTTTCTCGGATAAACACTTCCAACAATGTTCATTCTTCCAATTTCTTTTTCCACAAAGCTTAGTATATGTGCTGCTGAAGTGAGCACATTTTTACACAAAGCTTAATGATTATTTAGCAATCAGAACACCAGGGTTGAAATGTCATCTGTCGAAAATAACTTCTCTGTGACTAATTTCTTCACCTGTAAAATGAGGATAATTAGTGACAGGTTGTGGGTATTAAATGCAACATGTTTAGAATAATGCAACTCAGTGATTCTTATATGCAAATGCAAATAAATATGTGCATAACATTTAAAGTATGTACATCATGGATTATGCCATATGTCCCATCTCAAGGCCAGAGAAGTGGTTGTTTTGGTTTTGGTACTGGGGATCGAACTCGGGACCTTGCGCTTTTGAGCCTGGTGCCGGAGCCACTGAGCTAAATCCTCAGCCCGGATCATGCCATATGTATATACTGTTCCTCAGTTTTTTGTTTGAGACAGGGTCCCCCTATGTAGTTCAGGCTGGTCTTGAATTTACCACAATCTTACTGCCTCAGCCTCCAAGTGCTGGAATTATAGGTGTGCTGAATTAAAATATTATCTCCTAGGTTTTTTTCTTCTCATTTTTCTGCTAAGAGACTCCTGTGTTCCTCAAACTCCTGGGCTCAAGTGATTCTTCTGCTTCAGTCTCCTGAGTAGCTGGGTCTGTAGCCATATGCCACGGTGCCCAGTGGCCATTAAAAACAATTATTTTATACCATTTCTCATATAAAAACTCCTAAGAGGGCCGGGGATTTAGCTCAGTGGTTCTGCCAACTGCCTCGAAAGCACAAGTTCCCAAATTCAATCCCTGGTTCCAAAAAAAAAAAAAAAAAAAGACCTCCTAAGAGTTTGGATATCACATATTAGAACATGCAGAAAAAAATTCCCCAGATGGGTGTGGTGGTGCACTCATAGAATTACAGCACTCTGGGACGCTGAGACAAGAGAATCACAAGTTCCATCCGGCCTGGGCAATTTCATGAGAGACCTAAAAAACGAAAGGAAGAAAAGGGCCTGGGATTTAGTTTAGTGGTGCTGTGCCTGCCTCATAAGCTCAAGGTCCCGAGTTCAATCCCCAGTACAGCAAAAAAAAAAAAGGGGGTGGTGGGTTGGGGATGTAGATCAATGTGAAGGACCTGGGTTTAATCCCCAGTACTACCAAAAATAAATGTAATTTACTCATTTTTTAATCTGGTTTTTTAATGTCTTCCAATATCCATTATCTGGTACATTTCTAAAAACCCCTTGTTAAGCCTACTTATATCTATTTTTAAACCTTCTTTATATCATTAACCCATTCTGAATTTTAACTGCTTATATTGCGTGGCAGCCCAATTTCTAACATGTTATTGAATAGGTCATTCTTTACACACTATTTCAAATGCTACCTTACCAGAAATATAGATATTTCTGGACTTTGCATAAGTATTCCTTTAACAATATCACAGTTTTTTAGTTTCTATAACTGCATAGTACTTACCTTCTAGTAAGACCAGACTTCTGTCATGCTTTTCCCAGAATCTTCTTGGCTGTATTTGCACATTTTCATTCATCATGGATATTCCCAACTTAGAACATCTATCTCATTATATATATATATTTCCCACAATATAGCTGTCACACCTACATAGTAATTTCCTTTATTTTTGGTACCGGGGATCGAACTCGGGTCCTTGCACTTGCGCAGCAGGTGGTGAAACCACTGATACAAATCCTGGCCCAGTAATTTCCTTATTGATAGATATCTACTGGGATTTTTTATACAGCAGTTGATAAACTACAACATTCTACATTCTGGAATACTACCTATACACTGTGACTAATTTTCTTCATCAAATTTCGTACATAGGGTTGGGGATTTAGCTCAGTGGTTCCAGCGCCTGGCTCCAAAGCCCAAGGTCCCGAGTTCAATCCCCGGTCCAAAAAAAAAATTATACATATGCTATGGTTGAGTGGGCCAAAATTAGTCCAGGTTCTTGTGTATGAAAAGAATGGCCAAGTGTAGACTTCACTGTATGTAGTAAGTAGCTACTTTTTTGTTTTTTGGGACAGGGTATCACTATGTAGCTCAGGCTGGTCTTGAATTCATTGTGTAGCCCAGGCTGGCTTTGAACTCGAAGTGATCCTCCTGCTTCAGCCTCCCAAGTGCTGGGATTAGGTGTGCACCACCACACCCAGCAGGTAGCAATGTTTGTTGAAGATCATGGGGATAGTAGTAGCAGGAACAGTGAACAGACAAAAATATGAAGGGAAAAAAGGGACTCGGCTTCCTGTAAGGGGTAAGACACCTCATCCTCAGTGCCTCTCAAGTCTCTCACTGGTGTCACTGTTCTGCCCTCGGGGTTCCTGATCTCCTAAGCTTAAACCTGCATAATCATTAGTGTCTGTGGATGAATGAAGAGCTGCTCACTCAACTTCCCTGTTTCTAACAGTATTATGTGCTCCATTATCCTAACCATATCACCTCCCTGACAAGTACATAAAGCTATGTGCAAAACAGACACTTTGGCAGTCTCAACCTTGCCTTGATCTGTAAGACCCCACTCTCAGTAATGGCAGTATGGGGAAGAGAACAAATTCACCAAAATGCAGGCATTTTCCCTGGGCTTAAATTTTTCCTTTGGGTAAATATTTGGTCAAATTAATGCTCAAGTTCCAGTCAAGTAGACTGTTTTCAAGACTCCCCACCCCATCTTCCTTACGTGTTAGTGAGGCAAAAGTTCTTCCTGTAGTGGGAGAGGGCTTTCTTGCTATCTCCTGGGTTTGCATTATAACATCCTGCCTGGCTTTTGTTATATACTTCTACCTGCATGCTGGAATTTTAAGGTCCTGTACCCTGGGGCTTCCTCATCAGTGTCAAGGTATTTCTTATAAACATACTTGACAAGAACTTATATCCTGCATTTGTATTTTCTCTATCCATTTTCAGCCCCTAACCCCTTCCCCCAGGCAGAGAAGAAATCTGCATTTTTCTTTTGTTACATTCCCAGGCTGGTCTCCAACTCCTGGGCTCAGAGCCTCCTGAGTAGCTCAGACTGTAGCACACTGCCCATGGCTTAAATTACTATTTGTGAGCTCAATGACATAGAAACTATTTCTCTAGTGGCCATGCAGACCCCAGAATATCATCTGTTGTTAAAAGGTGCAATGATAAGGCTACATAATGAACATACTGATCACAGCTAAGTCTCAGAACTGTTAGTGTAAAAAACAGCAATTTTTTTTCTGGAAAAAGTTAAAAATGACTTTTTTTTTTGTATATGTGCTGCTGAAGTGAGCACATGACATATTTTTCTTAAAAAAGCATTTTTTTTTGGTGGTACTGCATATTGAACTCAGGACCTTGCACTTTCGAGGCAGGCGCAGGAACCACTGAGCTAAATCCCCGGCCCTTAAAAAAGCAATCTGAAAACAATTCTGAGCAATTACCTTTAGAACACAGAAGTAAAAAAAAAAATTAAAGAGTAATGAAAAAAGTACAATAAACTTCTTTGTGTAAACTAACTTTAAAAAGCCACTGAAGGGCCAGGGATTTAGCTCAGTGGTTCCGGTGCCTGCCTTGCAAGCACAAGGTCCCAAGTTTGATCCCCAGTACTAAACCGCCCCCCGCCCCCAAAAGCCACTGAAATTAACTTGGAAACTTACCTCCAAGTCTTCTAGCGTTCATTTTAACTCTGACTCTTCATCGTAGGAACCCAGTTCTAAATCCTTATGCCATACTTCTACCTTTACATACCAAATTAAGAAAGAAGGGACTCATTCACAAGTAGAAGGGTGCAGTCGGGTGTGTGGTGGTACAGGCTTGTCATCCTAGCACTTGGGAGGCTCAGGCAGGACTGCAGTGAGTTTGAGGCCACCCCGGGCTACATAGTGAGTTCAAGGCCAGCCTGAACACATACTGGGACCCTGTCTCAAAAACAACCCCCCGCCCCCCCCGCCCCAAGGATGCAATAATCAGAGTAGAATAGAAATAAATCCAACAGACTTTAGAACAAGTTACTTTATTTTGATGAATAAAAGAAACAGCAATTGAAAACAAAACAAAATAAACACTTCTCTGGCAGAGCTACATCCAGACTCCAAGGCATGAGGTCCTTTTCCACAGTTCATTAGCTCTTGTCAGTTATTTTCACTATCTCAGTCTTCAAGCAAGTAGTTAGGGTTAACTACCAGGTAAGGGTCTTCTTCATAGCTCTCACTTCCCTCTGTGGAGCCTTTCAACCCAGCCTGGGTGAGTTCAATGAGAACATGATCCTGTGAAACACAAAGGTTTGTCCTCAGGTTTCTTGTACTATTACATGGCCCCTTTGTACTATTACATGGCCATGGTCATTCCCCACCAAAAACTCCCAGAACAAAGACATATCTTAAAATCACCATCTTTTTTCTGCTAAACTCCCTTCTCATTAGGATGCTGCATAACACAAACATACTTTGAAAACCATGAATGTACTTTGAAAAATTAATATATAAACAAGCTCAGCAAATACTGTGATTTTTTTAAACTGTAATTTTTAATAGGATTTGCTGGCATATGACATCAACTGCTTGTAAATGTAACTTGATAAAAGGAAGTAATGCTTGAATGTAAGATTATGAAATTGGGTAAAATTCTCTAATATTTAAGTCTTTAATTTAACATTACTTATTAATTTTAAATTACTGGACACTGGATTTGTTTCATATACCACCCATTCTTAATTCAGTAATAACTCATCTAGGAAAATTCTCACTAAGTTAATAAAAATAGAAGTAGAGTAAGTCATCTGGTTTTTTCATACTACCACTAAGCTATGTTAAACCTTTGCCCCTGCCATCTAAATCTTGTACATTTTAAGCCTGTGGCACACCGAGCAGTTAAAAATGTCCACAAATGAGAAGACCTTCTAGCCAACCCCATGGTAAGGAACCTAGGAAACAGTGATTTGATACTAAGAACACTGATGCCATCAAGGGGAACTGGTCACTTTTAAGCATTCTTTCTATGTGCTAACACTTTCACTGAAGCACATTGATCAGCATAGTACTAGCTCGCTTTTAAAAATTTATTTAGGCTTTTTGAGACAGGATCTCACTATGTAGTTTAGGCTGGCCTTGAACTCACTATGTAGCCCAGGCTGGCCTCAAACTGGTGATCCTCCTGCCTTTGCCTCCCCAGTGCTGGGATTACAGGTGTGCACCACCATGCCCAGATTATTTTGATTGTTTGACACAAGGTCTTGCTCAGTAGTTCAGACTGGCCTTGAACTCACTATGGAGCCTAGGCTGGCCTCAAACTTACAGCTATCCTCCTCAGCCTCCAAGGAGCACTGGGATTACAGGAGTGTGCCACCACACCAGGCAGTACATCTCTTTGTGAGGTAAATAAGTTCAGGCAACGAGCCAAAGTTCAATCTTAATTTACATCAATTAGCTTCATCATGTGTTCATCATGTGTTCCACAGTCGTTCCACAGTCTTGGTATGGTTTTCATGTTGGATCATTTTACCCCACAAGGATCCCAAGTGGTGCTAGGGAGGGAGGAACCGGCCTATGCGAAGACATTTCCCACCACTAGCAAGACAACTCTGTGCACATACCACCTCAGTTCTCACCCCTGTACTCACACCTGCAATCATGTTCAACTAACCCTATAGGTAAACTTTTTCAGATGACATAGCCCTGACACAAGTAATATTTTTTATATAGTGAGCAATGGGAAGTGAATTGGCATGGCTGACTCTCTGCCAATTATTCAACAAATATTTGACCCCTCTGTGTGCCAGGCACCACTGTAGGCCCTGGGTAAAGTAGTAGTCCCTGCCCTCCCAGAACAGAGCTTACATTCTGCAGAGACAAACTAAACACCTAAGTAAGGAATGTACTGCCTAACGAAAACAAGCACTATGAAGAAACAAATTTGGGCGACAGCAAGTGCAGAAGCCTGTTATTTCTTGTTTTGTTTTGTTTTTTGGTACTGGGGATCGAACTTGGGTCCTTGCACTTGCGTAGCAGGCATCGAAACCACTGAGCTAAATCCCCGGCCCAGAAGCCTGCTATTTCAATGTCAGGCAAGGCTTTGGAAGGTAACATTTTAAGCAGAAATCAGAATTAAGGAGGGTGTCTTGAGAAAAGGGCCAAGGCCAGTATCACTGGGACAGAATGGGCAGGAAGAATGCTACAAAATGAGGTGGATAAGGGAGGCAGGGACTAGACCAGTGGTGGGGAACCTATGGCACGTGTGCTACAGCCGGCTGTTTGTTATCACTGAAAGCTCTAAAAGGTTTGCTATCACTGGATGACTAGACTACAAGATTTTCCATAATCTGGAAAGAGACTAGATTTTATTCTAAAAGTGAGAAGGCACAGGTAAGTAGGATACAAAAACAATTTTATGTTCTAAAAAGACCTGACTGACTGCTGGGCAGAGTTAGTACAAGGGGGAAAGATGGGAGGCTGCTGAAGGAGTTCAGGAATGGTGTCTTGGGGGGGTTGATCAAGGCATAAAAAGAAAAGAAATCGAAGATAATTCTAAGGTGTTTGGCCTATCACACTGAGGGTGGACGAACATATT